TCGGCCAAGAGTGAAGGGCCAGGCTGAGGAAGAGCTGGAGACCCGCCTGACTTGCAGAGGTCAAGGACCCACGTTGGCCTCAGTGGCCGCTGGGGAGGTGCTAAATACCATGCTTCTGTGTCTGTTTCCACCGGCCCAGCTGACCCCACTGACCCAGATGCCTTGTGAGCCCCTATCACCCCCAGGCACCTCCCTCGTCTCTGGCACAAAGTTCTGAAGTTGAAACCTGACTGCTTCCCTCCCCTGCCTGTGAAGACTTGAGCCCTGCTGCCTCCACTACGAAGCCTTAGCCCCTAGACTGGCACGCCGGGCACTCAGTGGCGGGTTCAAAAACCCCAAAGTGCAGCCTCCTCTCTGCCTGACAGTCCTCGGGGTGGGAGGGAGGTGTAAGCATTGCTGGCAGTGATGGGGTTGGGTCAGGATGAAGCCTGGCATTGCAAGGTGAAGCTTCAAGGACACCGAGGCCAGTGGGGACAGGTGCTGCAGGGTGACCTTCCCAGGGGCACTTGCTGGGGCAGGATGGGTCTGAACTGAGCCTGGGCCTGCTGGGTGGGCCTCCGGGATACAGAGGCTGGCTCTGCCTACTGAGGGCACCCGGCCCCTCCCACAGTTACCTGGTGATGCCATTCATGGGCACTGACCTAGGGAAGCTCATGAAGCACGAGAAGCTGGGAGAGGACCGGATCCAGTTCCTCGTGTACCAGATGCTGAAGGGGCTGAAGGTGCGGACCCCAGGGGAGGCTGCGGGCAGGCGGCAGGGCCTGGTGGCTGGGCGGAGGAGGGTCTTGTGGCTCTGAGTCCTTGGTGCACTGACGCCTGCCCAACCCTCTGCCCCCTCAGTATATCCACGCTGCCGGCATCATCCACAGAGTGAGTCCTGGAGGGGAAGCCACCCATCAGCCCTCCCCTGGCGCAATTTCCCCACCTCCACGTCCCACCTGTGAGGATCTGACAGGCTCTGGGGGGGGGCACTGAGCCATGCCCCATGCACAGCCCCTGTTGGGAGCCTGCCTGGTTCCCAGGTCCCTCCATCCATCCTTGAAGGGCTGCAGAGAGCAAGGGGGGCCAGGTCTGGTGGCCCTGTCTTTAGGTCCACCCAGTCTCTTGGCTGTGCCCATGCTTGGGAAGGTGGGACACAGTGGCCACCTTTCCTCTGCCCCCAGGATCTGAAGCCCGGCAACCTGGCTGTGAACGAAGACTGTGAGCTGAAGGTGTGTGCAGTGGGCCCTGAGCTGGAACACGGGCTCTCTCAGATCTACCATCTATCTACCTGTCCTTAGGCCTGGGCAGGGAACCTGACCACTCTGGGCAGGAGCTGAGGAGCCGGTGGGTGGTTGAGCCCTAGGAGGCAGTGGTACAGCCCATTGCCGTACCTGCAGTGGGTGAGGGTGGGAGGTGCCCCCAGGCCCCTGCCTGGTTCAGGCAGGGCTGAGGCCTTGTCGGTCAGCAGGTGACAGCAGGGAGAGGGCACCTGCTCCGGAGGGCAGCTGGGCTCAGTGAACTGGCCACAGGGAGGAGCTCAGGGAAGTTTGGGGTCTGGGGCTGTGGCCTCAAGCCCTGGAAGGTTGTCAGGAGGCCCCAGCTTGGGGGCTTCAAGTCCAGCCCTCTTGGGGTCTCCTGGATTATGCATGGCCTGTCCACTCCGTGGGAGTCCCCTAGACCCCGCTTCCCTAAAATTTCCCACAGATCCTGGACTTTGGCCTGGCCAGGCAGGCCGACAGCGAGATGACTGGGTATGTGGTGACTCGGTGGTACCGGGCACCCGAGGTCATCTTGAATTGGATGCGCTACACACAGACGGGTGAGGAGCTGCCCAGAGATGTGGGCCTCTCAGGCTTCACCATCTGCTTCCCCGCTTCTTCATGGAGAGCCCATGGTGGCTGCTTCCAGGGAGGCTGTTGAGCTGGGGTGGGAGCCGGGCGAGCGGGCTGTGCCAGTGTCTCCTCCCTTCCCGTCTCATTCTGGCCCCCTGCCCATGGAGCTGACCAGGGCCTTCTATCTCAGTGGACATCTGGTCTGTGGGCTGCATCATGGCAGAGATGATCACAGGCAAGACATTGTTCAAGGGCAGTGACCGTATCCTCCAAAGCAGAGCAGCACCAGGGCGGGTGGGGATGGCTCCTGCACAGGTGGAGGGTGTTGGGGGGAGGGGGATGGCTCCTGCCCAGGTGGAGGTTATGGGGGGGGTGGGAATGGCTCCTGCCCAGGTGGGGGTGGTTAAGGCCCCAATCTCTGGCACCCGAGCTGTGCTCCTGACCTCAGTACAGACCTGGACCAGCTGAAGGAGATCATGAAGGTGACAGGGACGCCTCCAGCTGAGTTTGTGCAGCGGCTGCAGAGCGATGAGGTCAGTGGTCAGTGGGGAGCTTGGTGGGATTGGGGGCAGACTCAGGCCTCGGTGCTGGCCCCTCATCCTTTCTTCCCACACAGGCTAAGAACTACATGAAGGGCCTCCCTGAGTTGGAGAAGAAGGATTTTGCCTCCATCCTGACCAATGCAAGCCCTCTGGGTAGGGCTGGCTGGGGTGGGAGCCACAGGGTGCTGTAGTGTGGGGCCTCCCGAGGTCTGGCCTGACATACCTTCCCCCACAGCTGTGAACCTCCTGGAGAAGATGCTGGTGCTGGATGCGGAGCAGCGGGTGACAGCAGCCGAGGCGCTGGCTCACCCCTACTTTGAGTCCCTGCATGAGACGGAAGATGAGCCCCAGGCCCAGAAGTATGATGACTCCTTTGATGATGTGGACCGCACACTGGATGAATGGAAGCGTGAGTGGGGGCTCTGAGCAGGGCCTGTGTGGACCTGTGAGTGGGGGTCTCTGGGCAGGGCCTGTGTGGACTTGGTGGGCTTTCTGCTGGTGGCCAGGCTCCCCGGGATGCAGGTCAGGTGAGGAGGACGGGAGGTCAGAGGGCAGCGTGGGGCCATGTGGCCTGGTGGAAGTGACCTCGGGTTGGAGCTAAAAGATAAAGGGAGGGTGTTCCTGGTGGGCTCGGCACAGAGGCTGGCACAGAAGGAGCCTGGGAATGGTGAGGGGCAGCTGTGAGTCCGGGCACTAGGTCCCACTTAGCCCTGCCTGGCCCCCAGACCTGCTGCCCTTCCCCTGTGTCCAGGCCAGAGACCCAGGCCACCCTGACACTGCCACCATGTCCACTCGTCCCTATGGCCTCTCTGCTCACACCTCCGGAATTTGTCGTTGCCTCTCCTTGCCTCATTTTGGGATCCCTCCCACATGGACAGCTATATACCCAAGATAGTCCCCAGGGCCTCGCCTGTCCCTTCCCAGCCCCCCTGAGCAGTCCAGACCCCAACCCCAACAGCTGGGCACTATCATCCCCTATAGCAGGGGCCATCCCCTCATCTTGGAGGTCTGACCAAGGCCTATGCAGCCTCAGGCTGGACTCAGGGAAGCCTCCCCAGCTCCCACAGCTATCATACAGCCTGGGGCTGTGCTGGACCTGGCTTTATTTATGCCCCAAGATGGCAGGCTGTGCTGTCTTCTTCATAGCTGCATGACCAGCGTGGGGCTGGGTGTCTGGGGACAGCAGGTGGGCACTGGAAGCAGTACCGTGTTCCAGGCCCTGTTCTGGCTCTGCCTCAGGCTAGATGGGCTGAGATTCTTTACCTGTGCTCTTTAGGGCCATGGGTCCCTGAATGCCTGCAGTAGGGCCTCTGCCCTTAGTTGTGTGTGTTTAGTCATGTGCTTATGAGTTTGGGCTGGGAGCAGTGGCTCATGCCTGTAATCCCAGCACTTTGGGAGTCTGAGGTGGGTGGATCATGAGGTCTGGAGTTCAAGACCAACCTGACCAACATACTGAAACCCTGTCTCTACTAAAAATACAAAAAATTAGCTGGATGTGGTGGCAGGCACCTGTAGTCCCAGCTACTTGGGAGGCTGAGGCAGGAGAATTACTTGAACCCAGGAGACGGAGGTTGCAGTGAGTGGTGATCGTGCCACTGCACTCCAGCCTGGGTGACAGTGTGAGGTGTGAGACTCTGTCTCTAAAAAAAAAAAGATTGCCCTGTGGACCCCGCGAGATTTGGTTTGTTTGGTGAAAGGTTTCTGCTGCTAAACAAGATGACTTGAAACCATGGGCCGTAGGGTCCTCTCTGTAGTTTCCACCCACACAGCTGTGGCTGGGGCTTCTGCTCTTAGGACAGACTGTGGTGGACATGTGGCCAAGCCCTGGCCACCTCCCCTTATCCCTGGACATCTACGTCTAGGGCAATGGCCTCTTCACACAAACCTTCCCTCAGTGGCTCATACCCGTTAGGACTAGAGAAAGGCCCTGCAAGACACTACCAGGCGTGTCTGTGAGTGACTCCTGGGATGGAAGGCAAAGGCTGACCCCCCTTTCTGTTACACCCTGCTCCCCTGCCAGGTGTCACATACAAAGAAGTGCTCAGCTTCAAGCCTCCCCGGCAGCTGGGGGCCAGGGTCTCCAAGGAGACGGCTCTGTGAAGACCTCTGGGCTCTGGGGGTGGCAGTGAGGACCACCTTCACCTTCCACCTGAGAGGGGACCCTCGTTGCCAACTTGACCTTGGCTGGGGCTTGCATCCCAAGGTATCCGTCAGAGTGGACCCCAGGTTCCATGGATCTTCCTCCCCAAGCCCATGCCTTTGTTCTTGGGCACCCATCCTGGAGGAGCACCTGAACTTTCTGGACAGGACCTCTGCCTGACCTGGGATGGCCTCTGAACCCTGGAGCGGTGGCCCCCTTGCCAGTTGTCCTCAGAAACCTCGGAGCTGGTGGAGCTTCAGGTCAGGCCCTGCTCTGGGCCATGCAGAGGAAGGACAGAGGGTGGGCACAGGGCACCAACTCAGGGATATCCCCTCTCCTGGGGGGCATCAGTGGACCTTCTTGCACCCCCAGCCTGGAATGTCATTCAGCTGTGTGGCACCCACATGGCTGGAAGGAAATAGACCCTTTTGTAGCTCCCTGCTCTGGCTATGTATGCGTACTCATGCTGTGTCTCACCTTGAGGCCTCCAAGCCCTTGGTCTGCATGTAGAGGAGACTGGCCTGAGAGCTCAGACCCTAAGAGCTAGTAGGGGGGCCTGAGCATCCCATCTACCCCAGGCCACAAAGCTGGTGCCCACTTCCCTAGGCCTGTGCCAGTAAGCCTTGAGCCCCCACATTAGGACTTGGCCTCTTCCCCTCTTATGGGGTGACCTTCCTCTAAAGGCTTAGAGTCTAAGCCACTGTGTGTGGATTGGAAGCCAGACCCAGGGCAGAGCCTGATGGGGAGGAGTGTAGGATCCATCCTAGCTCTCTGCACCCTCCAAAGCCAGCAGGTTCCTGGGGAGGGAGGGGACACACTGGGCACGTTAAGACCCCTCTGGTCCCTGTGGTGGAGTAATGAGCACAGAGGGCCGGGTTTTGTTCTTGATCAAACCTTTAGCCCCCACCCACTACAATGCCCCCGTGGTATCTTCATGTCTAGGCTGCCCTCTGTGGGTCATTCAGTGTTTCCAACAGTGGCTGGCGGCTGGACCATGGGCCACAGGCGCCTCCACACCTGTGCCAGGGCAGGGGTCACAGCAGAGAGTGGTGAGGGGCAGGGCAGGCTGGGCGTCCTCCTTGGTGGACATGCCCACAGCTGGCCCAGCTAAATTGGGCCCAATGAGCTGCCACGACAGACTGGGCCTTTATCCAGCGACCCTCAGGCCTTTCCAGGCATGGGGGCAGGGCGGACGTGACCATTGGCTGTGGAGCCACGCTGATTTGTGACATGACCCCTGCCTATGCTGGGCCCAGCTTCCTGCCACAGCTGGCCTGAGGAAAGGGACTGGGGGCCCAAGACTGACCCAGTTGGACACGAACTCTAGCGGGGTCAGGGTGGTCCCTGGACTCCAGGTAGACTCAGGTCACCTCTGCAGACACCCTGCTCCATCCCAGGCCTCCTGCCTTCCTCCATCCCTCTCTGTTCCCCTTCCCTCCGCCCCCACAACTCCAGTCCAGCGTCCCTGCCTCCACTCTGACCCTGACTCTGAACTTGGGCCGGACTCTCCCTCCCTCCTTAAGCCTCGGGGGCGGCGCTGCGCCCCAACGCAGCCACGACAACCGCCCCGAGCTGGCCGCAGCGCCACCTGCATCCCCACCGGCTCCTCCCACTCCGTGGCTTTTGCCCTGTGGACCCCGCGTCTCACTTTCCCTTCACCCCGACTCTTACCGCGCCTGGCCCGGGTGGGCCTTGGGGCTGCGCTGGACCCTGACCCGGGAGCGGGGGCAGAAGGGAGCTCCCAAGGGTGGGGATCCCGCCCCTCTAGAAGGGGATCGGGGCGGAGCCGAGGGGGAGGCGGAGCCGCAGCACCGCTCGGAGGGCGGGCGGCCCGGGAGGCCAAGGTGTCCGCGCCTGCTGGTTCCTGGCTCCAGGGCGGGGCTCGCGGCAGCGCGCGGGAGCAAGGCGCCGGGCGGAGCCGAGTTCCAGGCGAGGAAGCCGGAAGCCGGGCGCGGGGAGCCTCCCGCGTTTCTGGGTTCTGTACGCTCGCGCTCAGGCCGGTGCCCGCTACCCGTCTGGGCCCCAAGCAGGTCCCAGGCCTCTGGCTAATCCTGGCCAAAGGTGGGGACGGGCAGTGCCAGGCACCGCTAGCGAGGCTGTTTGGGGACCCAGGGTGACCACGGCGCAGCCATGGGGACCGCGCTTGTGTACCACGAGGACATGACGGCCACCCGGCTGCTCTGGGACGAGTAAGTGGGACCTGGCCGAGGTGGGGTGCGGGGAGGGAGCTCTGGACTGAGCTCCCCATCTGCCTCAGCCCCGAGTGCGAGATTGAGCGTCCTGAGCGCCTGACTGCAGCCCTGGACCGCTTGCGGAAGTGCGGCCTGGAACAGAGGTGTCTGCGGTTATCAGCCCGCGAGGCCTCCGAAGAGGAACTGGGCCTGGTGCACAGGTCAGGACGGGGGCGGGTCCTATGATCAGGGGGATAGCTCACCTAGAAAGAGAGGAACCTGGGCCTGCCCCGAGCCTGCCAGCCTCGAGGACAGAACCTCTTCCCATGGACCTCCGGTGGGCTTGAGGAAGCGACAGGGTGGCCACTCTCACCACGAATCCCAGCACACACACGCTCCCCCTCCCGCACTGCCACCTGCTCCTGCTGGTGACCCTGCCTCTCCTGCCCGCCTGTCTACAGCCCCGAGTACGTGTCCCTGGTCAGGGAGACCCAGGTCCTGGGCAAGGAAGAGCTGCAGGTGCTGTCTGGACAGTTTGATGCCATCTACTTCCACCCGGTGCGTGTCCCTGGACACTCAGCCGTCCAGACACACATGCACGTGCCTCTGTGTGTTCACAGCAATGGCTGCCAACCCCAGCCAGTGTACCCTGGTCTGTGCACGTAACCATGCCCTGCATACCTGCCTGCTGGCACTGCCAGCACCTGGGACTGCCCTGTTCTGCTTAGCAGCTGGGGCCTTGCAGCCTGGCACAAGTGTGGGCATGGCTTGCAAAGGGCAGCAGGGAAGGCGGGGGCTCATCTGTGCCCCTGCCCCCACAGAGTACCTTTCACTGCGCGCGGCTGGCCGTGGGGGCTGCACTGCAGCTGGTGGATGCTGTGCTCACAGGAGTGGTGCAAAATGGGCTTGCGCTGGTGAGGTGAGAACTGCCCCTAACCCCGGCTGCTCCTCCATGGGTGGCCTTGTGAGGGGACAGGGTGACCCTGACATGCCCCAAATCTCTCATGCAATAGGCCACCTGGGCACCACAGCCAGAGGGCAGCTGCCAATGGGTTCTGTGTGTTCAACAATGTGGCCATAGCAGCTGTACATGCCAAGCAGAAACACGGGCTGCACAGGTGTGTACCAGGCTGGCTGCAGGGGTATGGGCCAGATCACACAGCAAGGGGTGGCACAGGTAGCGAGACAGCCTACCCCACACCTTCCCATCCCTGGCCGGGCTCCTGGAGGTGGGAGGCGCTGCCCCTTGGCCACCAGCGCTGTCTGTGTCCAGAATCCTCATCGTTGACTGGGATGTGCACCATGGCCAAGGCATCCAGTATCTCTTTGAGGATGACCCCAGGTGAGCAGGGATGTGGAGTGTGCATCCCCACTTGTGGGGTGCGCAGCCTGGCCTGGGAAAATCCAAGGGTGAGATATGGACATGTGCTCGGAGGTCAGGGTTCTGTGGGGACTGCAGAGCTGTTGAGGGTCCTGACCTCTGACCTCTGACCCTGGCTGGCTGTTGGCAGCATCCTTTACTTCTCCTGGCACCGCTATGAGCATGGGCGCTTCTGGCCTTTCCTTCGAGAGTCGGATGCAGATGCGGTGGGGCGGGGACAGGGCCTCGGCTTCACTGTCAACCTCCCCTGGAACCAGGTGCCCACCCTCAAGCCCCAGGCCCTCCCCCCTGCCCCCTCCCCCCAAACCCCTCCCCTGCCCCACAGTTCAGGATGTAGCCTGGATGTCCTGCCAGGTCGGGATGGGAAACGCTGACTATGTGGCTGCCTTCCTGCACCTGCTGCTCCCACTGGCCTTTGAGGTGACTGCAGGATGGGCCGCTCCAGGGCAGTTGGGTGGGAGGGGAACTTAGTGCCTGGAGCACCACAGGGAAGGCAGGAGGGGAGGGTTATGAGCTGCTCCACTCCTGTGTGGCTGGGGAGGGTGCTCAGGAGGGGCCAAGATAGGCCTGGCTCACCCTCACTTGGGCTCCAGCCTCTCTCTTGACCCTCCCCACCTCTGTCTGGCCTGTAGTTTGATCCTGAGCTGGTGCTGGTCTCGGCAGGATTTGACTCAGCCATCGGAGACCCTGAGGTGAGGACCTGGCCTGGCCAGGGAGGGCTTCTAGGGTCCTGGGGTCCAGGCCCCCCATCACACGTGGCTCTGGTTCCAGGGGCAAATGCAGGCCACACCAGCGTGCTTCGCCCACCTCACACAGCTGCTGCAGGTGCTGGCTGGTGGCCGGGTCTGTGCCGTGCTGGAGGTAAGTGATGAGAGGGCACACAAGGAGGGTTCCTGGGCCTGAGGCCTGGGGCCAGGTGCCCACAGGGTACTTGGAGGGGTTGTCCTGCCCAGGATAGAGAGCCCGGCAGGGGCCCTTCCAGTGATACCCCACCCCAGTAACATCCCTGCCCCAGTCATGTCTCTGCCTTCCTCCCAGGGTGGGTACCACCTGGAGTCACTGGCGGAGTCGGTGTGCATGACAGTGCAGACGCTGCTAGGCGACCCGGCTCCACCCCTGCCAGGGCCCATGGTACCATGTCAGAGGTATGAGGGGAGGGAGGGTGGGCAGGGCTGGGGCGTGAGGCCAGGCATCACCACTGTTTTGTCTGTCCCACAGTGCCCTGGAGTCCATCCAGAGTGCCCGTGCTGCCCAGGCCCCGCACTGGAGGAGCCTCCAGCTGCAAGGTCAGTGTGGCTGGGTGCTGGGCTGCAGGGTCCCACCTCAGGCTCCCATGCAGTGGCTGTGACTCTGAACTGTCCCTAGATGTGACCCCTGTGCTGACGAGTCCCAGTACCCATTCCCCAGTGGGGAGGCCTCCACCTCTGCTGCCTGGGGGTCCCGTGTGTAAGACGGCTGCATCTGCACTGAGCTCCCTCTTGGACCAGCCGTGCCTCCACCCTGCACCCCCTGTCTGCCCAGCTGTTGCCCTTACAGCTCCAGATATCACATTGGTCCTGCCCCCTGATGTCACCCAACAGGAGGGGTCAGCCCTGAATGAGGAGACACAAGCCTGGGCCAGGTGGGCAGGGCTGGCCTGGAGAGGATGGGGCCGCATGTACACCTGTGCCTGTGTGTGACTGACGTGCAGTTGCTTCATGTCTGTGTGTCCCTCTGGTCTCTCTACTACAGGCCACACGAGTCCCTGGCCCAGGATGAGGCCCTCACTGCACTTGGAAAGCTCCTGTACCTCTTAGATGGGGTGCTGGATGGGCAGGTGGGGGCACCTGGGAGGGGTTGGGGGTGCTGTGGACCCAGGGGCAGGGACCAGGACCTGTCAAGGAAATGTGGCCTGTCCAGAGGAGGGGTGGGTGGTGCAGAACCACATGGATGTGAGTGTTGTCTTGTGCCAGGGGTTGCTCCGCACAGCCCCAAGGGTGGGGATCACTAGCATGTCTGACCTCAACTTCTTCAGTTAAATGCTCTGTGGCAGAGAGGTGAAGGGGATGATTTAAAGTATAGATTTAGGCACGGTACAGTGGTTTGTGTCTGTAATGACAGCAGGTTGAGGGGCCAAGACGGAAGGATCGCTTGAGCCCATGAGTTCAAGACCAGCCTAGACAACATACAGAGACCCTGTCTCCATAGAAAATAAAAAAAATCAGCCAAGCGTGCTGTCATGTACCTGCAGTCCCAGTTACTTAGGAGGCAGGAGGCTGAGGCAGGAGGATCACGTAAGTCCAGGAGTTTGAGACTGTAGTGAGCTACAATTGAGCCACTGCACGCCATGCCAGCCTGGCTACAGAATAAGACTCTGTCTCAAAAAAAAAAAACGTGTGCATATATATATATATATATATATATATATAGATGGATAGATACACACACACACACACGCAGACTTAAGCAATCTTATTTACAGAAATGGAATGATAAATACACACACATATATACATAAACTTAAGCATCTTATTTACAGAAATGGAGTGATATACACATATATTACATATATATAGACTTAATGTCTTAGAGAAATGGAATGATTTGACCTGTGCGTAGGGAAAGGCTGACAACAGCCACGTAGGGACCGAATGAAGGGAACTGTGGATCTCTCTAACTGGCTTGGGAGTCTGCTGGTACCTCACTCTCCACTGTTTCTTCATTCCACAGGTGAGCAGTGGTATCGTAGCCACTCCACCCTCGGCTGCAGCAGCCACCTTGGATGTGGCTATTCAGAGAGGCCTGTCCCACGGAGCCCAGAGGTAAGCCTCACTTCGCCATCCCGAGCCTCTGAGGGCAGGACCCGTGGGCACCCCATCCTGGCTGGCCAAGCAGATGGCTCTGGGAATGGGCTCCAGACAATGTGAAGACAACCTGTCCTCAGGCCAGCTCTTCCTCTAGGCTGCTGTGTGTGGCCCTGGGACAGCTGGACTGGCCCCCAGATCTCGTCCATGACGGGTAGGACTCTCAGGTCTTGTATCTGTCCAGCCATGCATGTGGATGGGCATGTGCCTGTGCCCCAGGGTGACGGGTGGTTGGGGCACTGTGTGGTCCTGAATGGAGCCTTCCTCAGCTGGGTTTTGGGAGGGCTGCTGGAGGCATGCCAGGTGGGTCTCCAGCAGAGGCTCGGCAGTCATAGCACCCCTGCCCGTGGCCCGTGAATACTCTTCCACCTCTGCCTTTGCTGCCTGGGCTGCTTAGAGGGGTGAGCAGGGCCTTACGCTTATGCATGTATCCTGGAAGGAGGATTTTGTGGCTGAACATCAGGGGCAAGGAGGCGGCTGCCCTATCCATGTTCCAGGTCTCCACACCACTGCCAGTGGTGAGTGATCATGCCACGTGGCAAGGCAGATGGTGGGGAGACTGGATGTGTGCAGCTGCTGCTCGCTGGCACTGTCATGACAGCAGGTCTCTGGCCCTTCCTGTCTCCCTGCTCCTACTCCAGGGGCCCTGAGATTGGGAGGTAGGGGGGGTCAGAGCCAGCAGGAGGGGTATCCGTGGATGAGGAGCTAGGCTCTGCTGTCCCCACAGCTGACTGGTGGGTTCCTGAGCTGTATCTTGGGCTTGGTGCTGCCCCTGGCCTATAGCTTCCAGCCCGACCTGGTGTTGGTGGCGCTGGGGCCTGCCCATGGCCTGCAGGGCCCCCACGCTGCACTCCTGACTTCAATGCTTCGGGGGCCGGCAGGCGGCCGAGTCCTAGCCCTCCTGGAGGAGGTAAGCTGGGCAGGGTGGAGGTGGTGTGGGATGGGAGGAGGAGAAGGACCAATGACTGCCTCCGTCTTCACCCCTGGCCCAGGACTCCACACCCCAGCTAGCCGAGATCCTGGCCCGGGTGCTGCATGGAGAGGCACCTCCTAGCCTAGGCCCTTACTCTGTGGCCTCCCCAGAGGACGCCCAGGCTTTGATGTACCTGAGAGGGCAGCTGGAGCCTCAGTGGAAGATGCTGCAGGTGACCAGTGCCCTGGGGCCCGGCTCTGCCGCAGAGCTCGATGGGGAGGGCAGGGTAGGGCAGGGGAGTGCCCTGAACCAGCTCCAGCGCGGCAGGCCAACTGCGCGCCTCTTCCCGGCTCCTGTTGCAGTGCCGTCCTCACTTGGAGGCTTGAAATTGGACAAGGTGGGAGCATTTACACCGCAGGAATGACACCGCACGTCAGCGTCCCACTGCCTGTGCCCGCTGTCCCCAGGCCCAGGCTGCTCTTGCCGCTGCGGTGACGCGGTCACCCGGTGACTCCGACCGGCCCACAGCTCCCGCTGCACCAGGGGCACGGGGCCCCGCCCACTCGCACACATGCGCCTCGGCCCCGCCCCCTCGCGCCCCTGCTCCCCCGCGTCACCCCCTCCCGGCCCGTACGCCCCACCCTCGGTCCCATCCTGGCCCCTGCGCCCCGCTGCGCTTCGCTCCCAGCCCTCATGCAGTCAGTAAATATTGGCCAAACGAAACCCTGGCTCTGCCTCCTTTATTGAGGATATTCGGCCTCAGTCTTCCACCCTTGATGCCGGACTCAGGACGGAAGGGCGCTACTGCGCAGGCCTCGTCCCCTCCACGGGTCGCTGGCGTCCCCGTGACGTATTTCCGGCGCGTCTGCGCTGGCGCTGTCCACAGTTGCGGCTAGTGACGCGACGGATGCGGCGGGAATGGTAGCTGAGGGCTCTTTCCGCGGGTGAGGCCTGGACAGCGGGCGGACCTGCGGAAAGACCCGTGCAGGCCAGACCCCGGGACCACTCGGCTGCGCTCCCAGACTCTTTGCTGCCTGCAAGCCTCAGAGTGGCAACCTCTCCTGGCCGTCTCCTCTCGTGGGACCCGAAGAACGCGTGCAAAGCAGGGTCCGTCCGCTGTGTACTGCCCGGGCGCACGTTCCGTTCTTCGCGTTTGCCACGATTCCGTGACTCCCTGAAGGTTAAGTGCTACTAAGTTAGAAGAAACGCCGAGCTGGCTTCTGGTGGGCTGCCGGGCGCCGGGCAGCGTGCTTACTCCGAGTAGCCGCAAGACCTCCTTTAAAAATACCAGTTCTGAGCTTTGTCGTTGGAGAGGCTGCCTGTCATTCAGCCCCTTCCGACCGTCTCTCACGCCCTGTCTTCCGGAGCGTGAGTGAAGCCCGGGTGAGGTGTTTTCCCACATGCCAGGGGCCCGGAGCTGAGGACGGGCGGGCATGGCCAGCATCACGCAGCTGTTCGACGACCTGTGTGAGGCCCTCCTGCCGGCTGCCAAGACTCACCTGGGCCAGCGCAGTGTGAACCGGAAGAGGGCAAAGCGGAGCCTCAAGAAGGTGGCCTACAATGCTCTCTTCACAAACCTTTTTCAAGAGGAGACGCAGCTGCAGCCTGACACGTCGAAACTACCAGCGAGAAACAAGATCCTCATGTTGTCCTTTGACTTGAGAGTGGGGGGCCTGGGCCCCAGGGCTGACCGTTTGGAGGAGCTTGTGGAGGAGCTTGAAGCAGCCCCTTGTTGTCCGCTCGTGGAGGTGGGGTCTGTTTTGGACCTCCTCGTTCAGCTGGCAGGGAGCGGTCCGCCTCAAGTGCTGCCGAGAAAACGAGATTACTTCCTTAACAAGCACGTGGGGAGAAACGTTCCATACGGCGGCTACGATTGCTACGACCTGAGTATGTTGGAGAGGGACGTTCAGTCTCTGATCTGCAGAGAAGAGTATTTGTGTCACAACATGATCCAGGATACACTTCAGGTTATGGAGGCTACTCCAGGCACCGGCCTGCCCACCGTTGGGCTCTTCTCATTTGGTGACCCCTGTGGTGACAAGTTCGAGAGAGACACCCGGGTCTCACTCTTTGGTGCCCTTGTGCACAGCCGCGCCTACGACCTGGATATCCGACTGGACCTGCCCCCCGTGCCGGACAATGCAGACCTCTCTGGGCTGGCCATTAAGGTAGAGTTTGTTTTTTCTCTTTCATCCCTCTCAGGGTTTGGAGAATGTTTTCTGTGACCTTTCTAATTTTTCTTCTTCTCCTTCCTTCTTCCTTCCTCTTTCTTCTTCTTCAACAGGGTCTCACTCTTTCACCCAGGCTGGAGTGCTGTGGCGGGATCTTGGCTCACCACAAGCTCCGCCTCCTGCGCTTCAGCAATTCTCGTGCCTCAGCCTCCCGAGTAGCTGGAATTACAGGCACCTGCCACCATGCCCAGCAAATTTTTTTTTTTTTTTTTTTTTTGAGATGGAGTCTTGCTCTGTCACCCAGGCTGGGGTGTTAGTGGCGAGATCTCGGCTCACTGCAACCTCTGCCTCCTAGGTTCAAGTGATTCTCCTGCCTCAGCCTCCTGAATAGCTGGGATTATAGGCGCCCACCACTATGCCTGGCTAATTTTTGTATTTTTAGTAGAAATGGGGTTTCACCATGTTGCCCAGGCTGGTCTCAAACTACTGACCTCAGATGATCCACCCGCCTCGGCCTCCCAAAGTGCTAGGGATTACAGGCTTAGCTACCCTACCCGGCCCTGTGATCTTCCTTTCATCATGGTAAAAGGAGGATAGTTTGGTGGCTGCATTGTCCTGAGGTGGGGCTGCTGGAGTGGGCTTACTGGCGGCCACTCTCCTCTGCAAGGACAGTGCTGCCCGTCTGCTGGCCAAAGCAACATGCTGGTTTTCACTTTTTCCTAACAGGGCATGTGTTTAAGCCACTTCTGCCTTGTAGAGCTGCCGTTTAAATTTAAGTTAATTAAAACAAAATGGAAAATTCAGTTCCTTAGCCCCACAAGCCACATTTCAAGTGCTCACATGTGGCAAAAGTGTCTGTTTATGTTATGTGTAAAATATGCAATTGGATATACTTTTGCTGTCTATAACCAGAGGCTTTTTCCTATGGTATTATGTAACTCCTCACTGAGTTTTGTATTTTACTGCTTCATCAGTATTGCTAAAAGGATACATTGTTATTAGTCATCCTATTCCTATGAGATACCCGGCTATTTATAAACATAATGCTACAGCAAATGTTTTGGCATACACTAGTTTTTTTTTGTTTTATTGTTTTGTTTTGTTTTTGAAACGAGTCTTGCTCTGTCGCCCAGGCTGGAGTGCAATGGCATAGTCTCGGCTCATTGCAACCTCCGCCTCCCAGGTTCAAGTGATTCTCTTGCCTCAGTTTCCCAAGTAGCTGGGACTACAGGCTTGTGCCACCACACCCGGCTAATTTTTTATTTTTTTTCATTTTCATTTTCTTTGATTTCACATATATTTTTTGAGACAGAGTCTTGCTCTTTTGCCCAGGCTGGAGTGCAGTGGCACAATCTCGGCTCACTGGAACCTCTGCCTCCCAGGTTCAAGCAATTCTCCTGCCTCAGCCTCCTGAGTACCTGGGACCACAGGTGCATGCCACCATGCCCGGCTAATTTTTGTATTTTTAGTAGAGATGGGGTTTCACCATGTTGGCCAGGCTGATCTCAAATTCCTGACCTCACGTGATCCGCCTGCCTCGGCCTTCCAAAGTGCTAGGATTACAGGTGTGAGCCACCATGCCCAATGTGTATTTTTAGTAGAGATGGGGTTTCACTATGTTGGCCAGATTGGTGTCAAACTCCTGACCTTGTGATATGCCCACCCAGCCTCCCAAAGTGCTGGGATTACAGGTGTGAGCCACAGCACCCAGCCAGTGTGCAGTAGTTTTTTAATGTTTAGTGTGATTTTTTTTATGCTAGGTTTCCTAAAATGGAATTTCCACGTCAGAAAGTTTCTCAAAATCATCTTTTCAGAAAGCATCTCAAAAAGTCATTGTAAGTTCCACTGAGGCTTATGTGTTACATGGAATTGGAAATTTGTAGTCTTTTTTTTTTTTTTTTTTTTTTTTTTTTGAGAAGGAGTTTCGCTCTTGTTACCCAGGCTGGAGTGCAATGGCGCGATCTCGGCTCACTGCAACCTCCACCTCCTGGGTTCAGGCAATTCTCCTGCCTCAGCCTCCTGAGTAGCTGGGATTACCGGCACGTACCACCATGCCCAGCTAATTTTTTGTATTTTTAGTAGAGATGGGGTTTCACTATGTTGACCGGGATGGTCTCGATCTCTTGACCTTGTGATCCATCTGCCTCTGCCTCCCTAAGTGCTGGGATTACAGGTGTAAGCCATTGCTCCTGGCCCGGAAATTTGTAGTCTTTTTTTTTTTTTTTTTTTTTTGAGATGGAGTTTCGCTCTTGTTACCCAGGCTGGAGTGCAATGGCGCGATCTCGGCTCACCGCAACCTCCGCCTCCTGGGCTCAGGCAATTCTCCTGCCTCAGCTTCCTGAGTAGGTGGGATTACAGGCACGCGCCACCACGCCCAACTAGTTTTTTGTATTTTTAGTAGAGACGGGGTTTCACCATGTTGACCAGGATGGTCTCGATCTCTCGACCTCGTGATCCACCCGCCTCGGCCTCCCAAAGTGCTGGGATTACAGGCTTGAGCCACCGCGCCTGGCTTTTTTTTTTGAGACGGAGTTTCGCTCTTGTTACCCAGGCTGGAGTGCAATGGCGCGATCTCGGCTCACCGCAACCTCTGCCTCCTGGGTTCAGGCAATTCTCCTGCCTCAGCCTCCTGAGTAGCTGGGATTATAGGCACGCGCCACCATGCCCAGCTAATTTTTGTATTTTTTTTTTTAGTAGAGAAGGGGTTTCACCATGTTGACCAGGTTGGTCTCGATCTCTCGACCTTGTGATCCACCCGCCTCGGCCTCCCAAAGTGCTGGGATTAAAGGCTTGAGCCACCACGCCCGGCCGGAAATTTGTAGTCTTAACAAATTTTGTTTAATTCCTTAAATGGCTCATTGGGGAAAAACTTGATATGGTACACATGTGCCTGAGAAAAACAGAGAAACATTTTGCTAGGTGTTTGCCTCTAAGAAGTAAGTGGAACTTTGTGGATAAAGTTTCTGGAATTCTTATTGCCCTTGGATGAAATGTGGACACAGGAATGAGTGGCGGTTTGTTCTTCCCTGTGTCTCCAGGTCCCACAGAGTGTGGATCAGTGGGAAGATGAAGGATTCCAGTCAGCATCCAACCTGACTCCTGATTCCCAGTCTGAGCCCAGCGTGACCCCAGACATGGATCTGTGGGAAGCTGCACTCACCTACGAGGCCAGCAAGCGGAGGTGCTGGGAGCGAGTTGGATGGTGTGTACCCTTCTTTGCCTTGGCATGCAGTGCCTCTACACCTGTGTGAGCGTGGCCTTGGATATGTGAGGGGCGTTGCTGACTCAGGGGCCCAGGCAGTGCCCTACACCTGTGTGAGCGTGGCCTTGGGTGTGTGAGGGGTGTTGCTGACTCGGGCCCAGGCAGTGCCCCTGCACCTGTGTGAGCATGGCCTTGGGTATGTGAGGGGTGTTGCTGACTCGGGCCCAGGCAGTGCCCCTGCACCTGTGTGAGCATGGCCTTGGGTATGTGAGGGGCATTGCTGACTCAGGGGCCCAGGCAGTGCCCCTGCACCTGTGTGAGCATGGCCTTGGGTGTGTGAGGGGCGTTGCTGACTCAGGGGCCCAGGCAGTTGTGATGGGTTAGGGACCTGGAAGTTTCAGTTAAGATGGTGTCCAAATGCAGCTGGGCAGAGACCAGCAGCCTTTAAGGGGACCTCACCTCTCTGTGCCAGTAACCAGATCATACCTTCCAGGCAGAGCAGAAGGGGGCAGCTAAGTTATGTCCTCACTACCAGTCAGAGGTGCCTGAAAGCTGCCTGGCAGGGTCAGTGCCAGGAAGAAATGCTCACTGGGCACTGGGTTCTGATGAAGGAGCCTTTTCCATCCGTGTCTGGAGGAGTTGGGGTGCTGATGAAGGAGCCTTTTCCATGAGGAGTTGGGGTGCTGATGATGGAGCCTTTTCTATCGGTGTCTAGAGGAGTTGGGGTGCTGATGATGGAGCCTTTTCCATCGGTGTCTAGAGGAGGTGGGGTGCTGATGGAGCCTTTTCCATCGGTGTCTAGAGGAGATGGGGTGCTGATGAAGGAGCCTTTTCCATCGGTGTCTAGAGGAGGTGGGGTGCTGATGATGGAGCCTTTTCCATCGGTGTCTAGAGGAGTTGGGGTGCTGATGATGGAGACTTTTCCATCCGTGTCTGGAGGAGGTGGGGTGCTGATGAAGGAGCCTTTTCCATCCGTGTCTGGAGGAGGTGGGGTTCTGATGAAGGAGCCTTTTCCATCCGTGTCTGGAGGAGGTGGGGTGCTGATGAAGGAGCCTTTTCCATCCGTGTCTGGAGGAGGTGGGGTTCTGATGAAGGAGCCTTTTCCATCCGTGTCTGGAGGAGGTGGGGTGCTGATGAAGGAGCCTTTTCCATCGGTGTCTAGAGGAGGTGGGGTACTGATGAAGGAGCCTTTTCCAGCTGTGTCTAGAGGAGGTGGGGTGCTGATGATGGAGCCTTTTCCATCGTTGTCTAAAGGAGGTGGGGTGCTGATGAAGGAGCCTTTTCCATCGGTGTCTAGAGGAGGTTGGAGTGGCACTCTGGGTGATGAGAAGCTGCAGCTGCAGCAGCTTTTCCCTGCCTGGTGCCAGCAGCTCGCTCTCTGGATACAGTAGCCAGTCACACTCTGGCTCATCTGGGTCCAGAAGCCTCTGCACTCAGGAGCTCTCAGTCTGTAATGTGGTGGTATCTTTTCATAACTTCCAGAATCCAGGTAGAGAATATGCATTTTTGGCTGGGTACTGTGGCTCACACCCGTAATCCCAGCACTTTGGGAGGCCAGGGTGAGCAGATCACTTGAGGTCAGGAATTTCACCTGGTCAACATGGTGAAACCTCATCTCTATTAAAAATACAAAAATTAGCCATGTGTGGTGGTGGCACATGCTTGTAATCCCATCTACTCGGGAAGCTGAGGCACGAGAATCACATGAACCCAGGAGGCGGAGGTTGCAGTGAGCTGAGATTGTGCAACTGCACTCCAGCCTGGGTGACAGAGTGAGATTCTGTCTAAAATAATAATAAAAATACACATTTCCCAAAATGTTTGGCCATGGAATGCCCTGTTCACATCCAGTCCACTGGGGATTCTGTTGATAACGGTTTGGGGAGTGTTAGGTGAAAGAGTCAGGGCTGGCCGGGCGTGGTGGCTCACGCCTGTAATCCCAGCACTTTGGGAGGCCGAGGCGGGTGGATCATGAGGTCGAGAGATCGAGACCATCCTGGTCAACACGGTGAAACCCCGTCTCTACTAAAAATACAAAAAACTAGCTGGGCGTGGTGGCGCATGCCTGTGATCCCAGCTACTCAGGAGGCTGAGGCAGGAGAATTGCCTGAGCCCAGGAGGCGGAGGTTGCGGTGAGCCGAGATCGCGCCATTGCACTCCAGCCTGGGTAACAAGAGCGAAACTCCGTCTCAAAAAAAAAAAAAAAAAAAGAAGAGTCAGGGCTAGCCAGGAGCTGAGTGCTCTCGGATGCAGTGCTGGGGCTCCTGCAGGGCCTGGAGAGGAGCATGTGCCCCCTGCAAGCTTTCATGACATCATAAAGAGTCCTCCAGGGATGGCTAGCTACCTGCTTCCCAGCACACTAGTGGTGGTGGCATTGTCCTGACTGCCGGGGGCTTTCCTGCCCTGTCACTTCCTGCTGGGCCATCAATCTTGTTTTCTTGCACATACAAAGCAAATCTAATGGTCCTGCTGTCTGCCATCCCCTCACATGTTTAAAAACTGGCCCTCTGATTTATTGCTTTGTTCCGTACATATTTGCTAATAGTATTTTTTGTTGTTGTTGTTATTTGAGATGGAGTCTTGCTCTGTTGCCCAGGCTGGAGTGCAGTGGAGCGATCTTGGCTCACTGCAACCTCCGCCTTCAGAATTCAAGTAATTCTTCGTCTCAGCCTCCCTAGTAGCTAGGATTACAGGTGTGTCCCACCATGCCCAGCTAATTTTTTTTTTTGAGACGGAGTTTCACTCTTGTTACCCAGGAGTGCAATGGCGCGATCTCGGCTCACCACAACCTCCGCCTCCTGGGTTCAAGCAGTTCTCCTGCCTCAGCCTTTCAAGTAGCTGGGATTACAGGCACGGGCCACCACGCCCAGCTAGTTTTTTGTATTTTTAGTAGGGACGGGGTTTCACCATGTTGACCAGGATGGTCTTGCTCTCTTGACCTCGTGAGCCACCCGCCTCGGCCTCCCAAAGTGCTGGGATTACAGGCTTGAGCCACCGCGCCCGGCCCGCCCAGCTAATTTTTATAAAAATTTAGAACCTGCCGGGCGCGGTGGCTCAAGCCTGTAATCCCAGCACTTTGGGAGGCCGAGGCGGGTGGATCACGAGGTCGAGAGATCGAGACCATCCTGGTCAACATAGTGAAACCCCGTCTCTACTAAAAATAGAAAAAACTAGCTGGGCGTGGTGGCGCGTGCCTGTAATCCCAGCTACTTAGGAGGCTGAGGCAGGAGAATTGCCTGAGCCCAGGAGGCGGAGGTTGCGGTGAGCCGAGATCGCGCCATTGCACTCCAGCCTGGGTAACAAGAGCGAAACTCCGTCTCAAAAAAAAAAAAAAAAAAAAAAAAAAAATTTAGAACCTTCCAATACCAGGTTTCCTCTGCCTGGAACATTTTGCAGCTCACCATAATTAGGCAACTGCTTTCATCCTAAACAAACTAGATCCTTCAAACTCTCCCTCTTAAGTTTGTTTTTTTGGTTTTTTGGTTTTTTTGAGACAGAGTTTCGCTCTTGTTACCCAGGCTGGAGTGCAATGGCGCAATCTTGGCTCACCACAACCTCCGCCTCCTGGTTTCAGGCAGTTCTCCTGCCTTAGCCTCCTGAGTAGCTGGGATTACAGGCACGCGCCACCATGCCCAGCTACTTTGTTGTATTTTTAGTAGAGACGGGTTTCACCATGTTGACCAGGATGGTCTCGATTTCTTGACCTCGTGATCCACCCGCCTTGGCCTCCCAAAGTGGTGGGATTACAGGTGTGAGCCACCGCGTCCGGCATTTGTTTTTTCCTTTCTCGTTCGTTCTTTTTCTTTCTCTTTCTCTCTCTTTCCTTGAGATGTAGTCTCACTCTCACATCCAGACTATAGTGCAGTGGTGTGATCAAGGCTCCCTGCATCCTCTGCCTCCTGGGTTCAAGCAGTTCTCCCTGCCTCAGCCTCTCAAGTAGCTGGGATTACAGGGGTGTGCCAGCACATCTGGCTAATATTGTATTTTTAGTAGAGACAGGGTTTCACCATATTGGCCAGGCTGGTCTTGAACTCCTGACTTCAGGTGATCCCCCTGCCTCAGCCTCCCAAAGTGCTGGGATTACAAGTGTGAGGCACCACACCTGGCCTTTTTTTTTTTTTTTTTAAATTGTATTTTTCAAACAGGGTCTCATTCTGTTGCCCAGGCTGGAGTGCAGTGGTGCGATCTTGGCTCACTGCAACCTCTGCCTCCTGGGCTCAAGTGATCCTCTGACCTCAGCCTCGCTATTAGCTGGGGCCACAGGCATGCATCACCACACCTGGCTAATTTTTGCGCTTTTTCTGTAGAGATAGCATGTATCACCACACCTGGCTAATTTTTGCGCTTTTTCTGTAGAGATAGCATGTATCACCACACCTGGCTAATTTTTGCGCTTTTTCTGTAGAGATAGGGTTTTGCCATGCTGCCCGGGCTGGTCTTGAGCACCTCAGCTCAAACAATCCACCTGCCTCAGCCCCCTAAAGTGCTGGAATTACAGGTGTGAGCCACTGTGCTGGCTGTATTTCATTTATTACCACCCCCTTTTCTAGGTTCAGTTTTTCATGTCACTGATTAGGAGACATGGTTGCTTACTTTCTTCATCACCCTGTTCTGAATACACTGGAGACTGTAGAGCTTCAGTGCTGTGGGGCCCTGTTAGTGGTCCCTAACTGTGGAGCTCTGGTGCTGTGAGTTCCTGGTGGTATTCCCTACACTGACGAGCTCTGGTGCTGTGGGGCTCTGGTGGTGGTTCCTACAGGGAGGTTCTGCTGAGCACCTGGCAGTGTTCTGAGCACAGCCTGGGCAGCTCCTATAGGGACTTCGTCTGCCCAGGGCCCTGCAGAGTAAAAGTGCTGTGGTCATCTCAGTGTCCAGTGGCTGACCTGCACAGGGCCACACAGTGGCTGGACCTGAGTTTATATCCCCTGGGCCCTCTACTCCCTGATTCCACAGCCCCTGACACTATAATCCTGTCAGCCTGATGCTGTGGTTCAAGTTCCTTTGACAAATCCTTTGATCTTGTTTCATTTTAAATCCCAGCCACCTGCTAGTTTCCTGCTATGACGACCTCTGACCAGCAGGTGGCTAAAGAAGTTGCTGCCCACAGGGGATGGATGCAGCAAAACACCATGGCACGTGTACACCTATGTAACCTGCACATTGTGCACCTGTAACCCAGAACTTAAAGTATAATTCAAAAAATTAAAAAAAAAAAAAGCTGGCCGGGCGCGGTGGCTCAAGCCTGTAATCCCAGCACCTTGGGAGGCCGAGGCGGGTGGATCACGAGGTCAAGAGATCGAGACCATCCCGGTCAACATGGTGAAACCCCGTCTCTACTAAAAATACAAAAAATTAGCTGGGCATGGTGGCACGTGCCTGTAATCCCAGCTACTCAGGAGGCTGAGGCAGGAGAATTGCCTGAACCTGGGAGGCGGAGGTTGCAGTGAGCCGAGATCGCACCATTGCACTCCAGCCTGGGTAACAAGAGCGAAACTCCGTCTCAAAAAAAAAAAAAAAAAAAAAAAAAAGCTGTTTCCCCGCCAGAAATTGAGCCCCCTCCACTCTCACTCCAAGACATCAACTCTGCTGCCGTCCCAAGACCTCATGGTGGGCCACTCTCCCCTGTTTCTGCCCAGCCTGGGAGCCAGTATCGTTAGGCTGCTTACAGCCCCCCTGCTGCTGGGCTACAAGGGCTGGGTTAAGGTGGAGTGAAGCCTTTCAGACCCAGGAATTTCCTCTTTTTTTTGCATGTGCCACCCATCTGGGGGAAGTGTGTTGCTACATTTTGGGTTGTGTTCTCCCTGGGGATCTGTGGGGGGTAGTTGTTCACTCTGTAGCCCCCAGGGTGCTGCTCTGGGTCTTTGTGTTCCCACTGTGGGTTTTTTTCCCCTCAGCTCTGAGTCACCAGGAGGGGTGCATGGCCATGGCCGTGCTGGGGGCCAGTCCGGGGGGATCTGGGGTGGGATTGGCTGCAGGGGGAAGTGGGGTGGCACCGACAGCTTGCACTCCTGCCGAGGCCGTCTGCAGGAAGAAATGCAGGGGGCAGACAGGTTCTGAGGAGCTTTCCCGTGCTCGTCTCATCCTGAAGGAGCCTGGGTGGATGTCTGGGGTCCAGAATGGCCCCACCTGCTGACTGGACACCTCAGGGCTTATTTCCTTCCTCCAGCCCCCCTCTAGCCCCCTTCACATAGCAGAGGTGGCCAGTAAGAGTGTGTTTTTTTTTTTTTTTTTTTTTTTGGGACGGAGTTTCGCTCTTGTTACCCAGGCTGGAGTGCAATGGCGCGATCTCGGCTCACCGCAACCTCCGCCTCCTGGGCTCAGGCAATTCTCCTGCCTCAGCCTCCTGAGTAGCTGGGATTACAGGCACGTGCCACCATGCCCAGCTAATTTTTTGTATCTTTAGTAGAGACGGGGTTTCACCATGTTGACCAGGATCGTCTCAATCTCTCGACCTCGTGATCCACCCGCCTCAGCCTCCCAAAGTGCTGGGATTACAGGCTTGAGCCACCGCGCCCGGCTAAGAGTGTGTTTTTTGAAGCGAATTGTTTTTGCAGGGAGGGCAGGGGTGCTAGTGTGTGCAGGGTGTGTGAGTGTGCAGGATGTGAGTGTGCAGGGTGAGCGCAGGGTGCATGAGTGTGCAGGGTGCATGAGTGTGCAGGGAGTACGAGTGCAGGGAGCGTGTGTGCAGGGAGTGTGAGTGCAGGGTGTATGAGTGTGCAGGGTGAGTGCGGGGAGCATGTGTGCAGGGTGAGTGCAGGGTGTGCAGGATGCGTGAGTGTGCAGGGTGTGAGCCTGCAGGGAGTGCGAGTGCAGGGAGTGCAGGGTGCATGAGTGTGTGCAGGGTGTGAGTGCAGGGTGTGCAGGGAGCATGAGTGCAGGGTGTGTGTGCAGGGAGTGCAGGGTGCATGAGTGTGTGCAGGGAGCGTGTGTGCAGGGTGCACGAGTGCAGAGTGCAGGGTGTGCTACTGTGCAGGGAGTGGGTGTGTGCAGGGTGTGCAAGTGTTTGCAGGGTGTGAGTACGAGTGTGCAGGGTGTGCTAGCGTGTGCAGGCAGCATGAGTGTGTGCAGTGCAGTGCCAGTACACATGGGTTTACAGCCTCATAGCACCAGCAGAAGGCAAATTCCTCAGAGTCGCATGTGCCCAGGGCTGCCTGTACCAGCCCACCTTGCCTGGTGAACTTTTTTCTGTATCCATCTCTTGATTTTTCTGAGTGGGTTAGTAAAATTTATGTTATGTTTTTACAGTCTTAACCAGTTGTTTAGCTCTGTAATGTTGTGTATTTTCACTACCACACAGTAAATCTGCAGATAACTCTGAACCTTTTTTTTTGTTTTTTGTTTTTGAGGTGGAGTTTCGCTCTTGTGACCCAGGCTGGAGTGCAATGGCGCGATCTCGGCTCACCGCAACCTCCGCCTCCTGGGTTCAGGCAGTTCTCCTGTCTCAGCCTCCTGAGTAGCTGGGATTATAGGCACACACAACCATGCCCAGCTAATTTTTTGTATCCCACTGCGCCCGGCAACTCTGAACCCTTTAAACAGCTTCCCATTCACTCCACTTTCTGTCTCTAGGATTTTGGCCACTGTAGGGCCCTTATGTAAGTGGAGTTGCACAGTGTTTTGTGATGGCTCATTTCACTCCTCGTGGTGTCCTTGAGCACAGTCCCTGTGGAGCATGTGTCTGAACTGCCTTCCTTTTTGTGTTTTTGTTTGTTTGTTTGTTTTTTTTTTTTTTTTTTTTGAGACGGAGTTTCGCTCTTGTTACCCAGGCTGGAGTGCAATGGCGTGATCTCGGCTCATTGCAACCTCTGCTTCCTGGGTTCAGGCAATTCTCCTGCCTCAGCCTCCTGAGTAGCTGAGATTACAGGCGCGCCCCACCATGCCCAGCTAATTTTTTGTATTTTTAGTAGAGACAGGGTTTCACCATGTTGACCAGGATGGTCTTAATCTCTTGACCTTGTGATCCACCTGCCTCGGCCTCCCAAAGTGCTGGGATTACAGGCTTGAGCCACCGCGCCCGGCCTTGCCTTCCTTTTTAAGGCTGAATGATGGGCCAGGGTCTGCACGGACTGCCTATATTTATTCTCCTCCTCTGTTGGGTGCTCAGGTTCCTCTCCCTCTGGCTATTGTGGATGATGCTGCCGTGGATATGGGCGTGGATGCTGCCATGCACAGGGGCATGGATGTTGCCGTGGACGGGGGTGTGGATGCTCCTGTGAACGTGGGTGTACAAATCTGGTTTTATTTCTAACAGAGTACATTATGAGTGAGTCACTATCCTGAGCACCACTGGCATGGCCTGGGGTGCTCTTCCAGGGTTGGGCCATTCGGATACCCCCGGCCATGCCCAGGACCCCAGGCAGGTACCCTGGACACAATTCCACACCAGTTGTCCTGATAGAATAGATTGTGCTTGTACTCACAGCAGCATTATCCACAAAAGGCTGGGTGGTTAGTGGCATTCATACCTGGTTGTGTTTCTTAGAGTTTATTGTTTTGAATAACTTTCGTTCTTCTGTTCATGTCCATTTCTGAGAGAAAGTACCCTGGTGCTGAGGTGCAGGTCGCACGTCTGCTCATGGCCTCTCCTCTGCCCCCTCTTCTGCTCCCTCTCAGCCCGCCTGGTCACAGAGAGGAGCCTTACCTGACAGAGGCGGGAAGGGAGGCGTTCGACAAGTTCTGCAGGCTTCGTCACGGGGAGCTACAGCTGCTTGCCGGGGGCGTCCTGCAGGCCCCACAGCCTGTGCTGGTGAAGGAGTGCGAGCTGGTGAAGGATGTGCTGAACGTCTTGATTGGGGTTGTGTCTGTCACGTTTTCTCTCTGCCAGGTGAGAAGTGCTCCTTCCTAGTCACAGCAGCGTGGGGCTGGCCTGCCCTCCACCAGGCACTGCCCGGCTCTGGACTGGGGAGAACAAGCCTTTCAGGGAGTGGGGAGTGGCAGGGAAGGCCAACTCCGAGGGCCACCAGTGATGACAGCCAGAGTCATCCCATTTTCGTTCTAAAAGGTGTAATTTATTAATGTCCTTTTAAAAAACTGTAGCGCAATAAGATGTATATTGCCATCGGTGAAGCAACAGAAAATATCCCTTCCCCACATTTCCACTTCTGTCCTGAAGAAACGTCAGGTGTCTTCTGAGCTTTCCCACCGCTCGGGAGGAGCATCTGCCTGCCAAGAGCGTCCCGAGATTGGGATGTGCGCCGTTCTCCTCCGTGGACTGTGGGTGTCTCTCTGGGATGGGGCCAGGAGTTGCTGATTCTGGCACCAGCTGCAGTTTATCCAGCCCTCTTACTGGACACTTAAGAAGTAAACGAAGGCCGAACGTGGTGGCTTACACCTGTAATCCCAGCACTTTGGGAGGCCGAGGCGGGTGGATCATGAGGTCAGGAGCTCAAGACCAGCCTGGCCAAGATGGTGAAACCCCATCTCGACTAAAAATACAAAAATTACCTGGGAGTAGTGGTGGATGCCTGTAATCCCAGCTATTCAGGAAGCTGAGGCAGGAGAATCACTTGAACCCAGGAGATGGAGGTTGCAGTGAGCTGACATTGGCTACTGTACTCCAGCCTGGCGACAGAGCGAGACTGTCTCAAAAAAAAAAAAAGTAAACAAATACATTCAGAAAAATGAAGTCTTCTTCTGCAGCTTCTTCATTTAAGTGCTCATCCTTTTCCTTTGTCTTAAATGTTCTATGGTGGCCATTCTTAAACTTCAGTATATACTAGAAGCACAGCTAGTGACTGCCCCAGAAAAGTGCTCACAAGCAAGCTCTAGCTGCGGCCAGCGCCGAGGGCACCAGTTTGCAACATCATTCTCAGGGCTCGTTTTGTCTGTTGTTGGGTTAGCCTTATTATGTGGAACCAACCCTCTTTTTTTTTTTTTTTTTTGAGATAGGGTCTTACTCTTTTGCCCAGGTTAGAGTGCAGTAGCGCCATCACAGTTTACAGCAGGCTCAATCTCCTGGGCTCAATCCTAATCCTCCCACCTCAGCCTCCTGTGTAGCTGTGACTACAGGCACACGCCACCACACCCAGCTAATTTTTTTTGTTTTTTAAGACACAGTCTTGCCTGTCACTCAAGCTGTAGTGCAGTGGTGCTATCTTGACTCACTGCAAACTCCGCCTCCTGAGTTCAAGTGATTCTCCTGCCTCAGCCTCCTGAGTAGCTGGGATTATAGGCGCACACCACCATGCCTGGCTAATTTTTGTATTTTTAGTAGAGATGGGGTTTCAGCATGTTGCCCAGGCTGGTGTCGGACTCCTGACCTCATCTGATCTGCCCACCTTGGCCTCCCAAAGTGCTGGGATTACAGGTGTGAGCCACTGTGCCTGGCACCCCTGGCTAATTTTTAAAATATAGAGATGGGTCTTACCGTGTTGCCCAGGCTGGTATGAACTCCTGGGCTCAAGTAATCTGCCTGCCTCAGCCTCCCAAACTGCTGGGTGTACAGGTGTGAGCCACTGTGCCCAGCTCTTACTTTCATTTCTGATTTTATTAATTTGAATTTTTTCTCTTTTTTTTTTTTTTTTGAGACAGAGCTTCACTCTTGCTACCCAGGCTGGAGTGCAATGGCGCGATCTTGGCATACCGTAACCTCCGCCTCCTGGGTTCAAGTAATTCTCTTGCCTCAGCCTCCCGAGTAGCTGGGACTATAGGCATGCACCACCATGCCCAGCTACTTTTTTTTTTTTTTTTTGTATTTTTAGTAGAGATGGGGTTTCACCACGTTAACCAGGGTGGTCTCGATCTCTTGATCTTGTGATCCACCTGCCTTGGCCTCCCAAAGGTGCTGGGATTATAGGCGTGAGCCATGGCGCCCAGCCTCTCTTTTTTTAATAGTCATTTTATTCCCTAATTATTCTAGCTAAAACTTTCCAATTTTGTTGATATTTTCAAAGAATCAACTTTTTTTTGGTTCTCTGTTGTTTTCCTTTTCTGTATTTATTATTATTATTTTTTGAGATGCAGTCTCACTCTTTTGCCCAGGCTGGAGTGCAGTGGTATGATCTCAGCTCACTGCAGTCTCCATCTCCTGGGTTCAAGTGATTCTCCTGCCTCAGCCTCCCAAGTAGCTGGGACTACAAGTGTGCACCACTAGGCTAATTTTTTGTATTTTTAGTAGAGATGGGGTTGTTGGACAGGCGGTCTCAAAATCCTGACCTCAAGTGATTTACCCACTTTGGCCTCCCAAAGTATTGGTGTTACAGGCATGAGCCACCATGCTTTGCCTGCTCTCTCTCTCTGCTCTAATTGTTACTTGTTTCCTTCTGCTAGTTTTGAGTTTAACTTTTTTTTTTGAGGCGGAGTTTTGCTCTTGTTGCCCAGGCTGGAGTGCAGTGGCGCGATCTTGGCTCACCACAACTTCCGCCTCCCAGGGTCGAGTGATTCTCCTGCCTCAGCCTCCTGAGTAGCAGGGATTACAGGCATGTATGAACATGCCTGGCCAATTTTTTGTATTTTTAGTAGAGATGGGGTTTCATCATTTTGGTCATGCTGGTCTTGAACTCCTGACCTCGTGATTCGCCTGCCTTGGCCTCCCAATGTGCTGGGATTACAGGCGTGAGCCACCGCATCTGGCCTGACTGCCTTTCTTTTTTTTTTTTTCTTTTTTTTTTTTTTTTGAGACGGAGTTTCGCTCTTGTTACCCAGGCTGGAGTGCAATGGTGCGATCTCGGCTCACCGCAACCTCCGCCTCCTGGGCTCAGGCAATTCTCCTGCCTCAGCCTCCTGAGTAGCTGAGACCAACAGGCATGCACCATCATGGCCGGCTAATTTTTTAATTAAATTTTTTTTTTATTTTGAGATGGAGTCTCTCTCTGTAGCCCAGGCTGGAGTGGGAAGGCGCAGTCTCAGCTCACTGCAACCCCGCCTCTTGTGTTCAAGTGTTTCTCATACCTCGGCCCCTGGAGTAGCTGGGACTACAGGCACACACCACCACACCTGGTTAATTTTTGTATTTTTAGTAGAGACGGGGCTTTGCCATGTTGGCCAGGTTGGCTGTGAACTCCTGACCTGAAGTGATCTGTCTGCCTTGGCTCCCCAAGTCCTGGGATTACAGACGTGAGCCACCATGCCTGGCTAATTTGTACAGTTTTTATAAGGATGAGGGTCTTGCTGTGTTGCCCAGGCTTGTCTCAGGCTCCTGGGCTCAAGTGGTCCTCCTGCCTCAGCCTCCCAAAGTGCTGAGATTATAGCCAAGAGCCACTGAGCTTGGCCTAACAGCTCTTTTTAAAATCTCTTTAGAGTACGCACAGGGCTGCTGTGGGTTTGATATCTTTTTTGTTAGTAATGCAAATATTTGCAGCGGTAACTTTCCCTCCTGGCGGGGCGTTTGCTGCATCCCATACATTTTGGTTGTGGTGAGCCCTCTGTTGGGGGTTTCCACTCTCTGGTTATAAATATGTTGTGGAGAATGGGCTCTGATGAGTCTGTGTGTGTATCTTCCATTATTTCCTTTAATTCATCTCTGAGAGCCAGATGAGCAGGTCTCATGGCAAACATGTTTTATAGCTTCTGCCCAGGAAGCTGTGTACTTGTGTCCTGTGAAGGTGCTGTGTTTTTCTACGCTTAGCATTTCAAACATGTATTTTTCAGTGTGGTCAGTGAAAATTTCTACCCTGTTTTTGTTTGTATGTTTTTATTCCTCGGTGCAGGAGTTCTGGGTATGCTTTTTGAGCATTTGCTTTTGGGTCCTGTGGGTACTCTAGGTGGTGTGGGGTTGGGTGCAGTGGTGGAGGGAGATAGCACCTTACTGGGCATCTGGGTGCCTGGCCTCTGTGACCTGTGTCCTCTGCCCCTGTGTAGCTGGCTCAGGCCTTTGTGGTGAAGCAGGGCATCCATGTATCAGGAGCGTCTCCCGAGAGCATTAGCAGCCTCCTCTCAGAGGTGGCCGAGTATGGGACCTGCTACATGCGCCTGAGCCACTTCTCTCTGCAGCCCGTCCTGGACTCCTCGTACAGCAAAGGCCTTGTGTTCCAGGTATGGTCTCTGCCTCATGGTTGTCAGGAACCTTTGAGAGAACGGTGCACATGTTCTGGAAAAGAGAATCTTAGAGGTCCTTCTGCGGGACCACAGAGCCTAAACCTTTTATTTCCTTGCTAACATCTGAAACCCGATAGTGACTCTTCAGGGATGGGTCAGTGATGATGTTTTCCCTCACTGGAAACCTGGGGCAGATGTGTGTGGGCCCTGGGTTGGTGGGAGGCAGGCCTCGCCAGCATTCGGGGTGTGCAGGGCAGGCAAGGCAGTGAGTGGGGCTCTTGCTGCCCGCACCTTGGTGGGAGCAGTCATCCGCACTGTGGATGACTGACAGGGCAGGACTCTTGCATTGGGTAAATTTATGCTGCTGGGATTTCTAAGCCAAGCCTGGCTCTGGAAGCTGCTGTTTGTGAGTCTTGAAGCTGGCTCATATGCTGGGTAGAGGCCCAGGGAATGGGGGAATGCACCTTGAATGGGAGAGGACGGGCAGGCAGATGATGGGACGTTCGGGGAGTGGAGAGGAGGGTATTGGGGAAGCTGGGCAGAGAGCCCTCAGGAGGAGCCATGCGGTGCTGGCGCCTTCGACTGTTGGTGCTGCAGTGGGGGCTGAGGGTGGGGTGATGCAGTGAGGTTTAGGTTTTAGATGGGCTCGGGAGGTCGGCGTGGTGGGAGCTGCATGGGGTGGGGACAGCTTCTGGGCAGATGAGCAGCCCTGGGGTTCTTGAGGGCTGGAGATGGTGGAGAAGGTGTTGGAGCAGTGGACACTGAGAAGGGTCAGACTGTGGTTCTCACTTGTGTGGCAGGCGTGGCCAGGCCAGGTGGCTCCTGGGGTGGGTAGACTGAGATTGGTCCAGGGTTGGCATGAACTTCAGGGCTTGCTGCTGTGGTATTACCCAGGATGCTGGTGCCACCGAGACTCCTGTGGTCTGAGCAGCCGAAGCCCTCACAGAGCTAGTGTCTGTGCATAGAGCGCAGCTGCTCTTTCCACCCTCATCCCCAAATCCCAGAAGCCACGTCCCTGGGCAGCTGGTCTCGGATGAGAGGAGGGATTGGTGGTGGGCCATGGCTTGTGGAGGTCCAAATGTCTACCTGGCCTGGTGGCTGGACGTGGCTCACAGAGGCCCGTTGCTCGGAAATGAAGCCCAGAGCTGAGGCAGGGAGCAAAGTGCCGTGCCGAGCACTGGTGCCCTCAGGCCCTGGGCACAGGCTGTGTCCATGTTCCTGGCTGCCCTCCTCCCAGCCCTCTTGCCTACAGGCCTTCACCAGTGGCCTCAGGAGGTACCTGCAGTATTACCGGGCCTGCGTCCTCGCCACTCAGCCCACCCTGAGCCTCCTCACCATTGGTTTTCTCTTCAAGAAGCTGGGCCGGCAGCTGAGGTGAGCCTCAGCATGGCAGCTGAGCAGGGGACTGTGGGTGAGGTGTGGGGCTTGCTGGGCAGTGGGGGGGTTTGCCCTGCTCCCCGGCAAGGAGGGCCTGTGAGAAGAGCCCTCAGCAGGCGACTGGACAGCCCTTTCCCGGCTGAATTCAGGTGCCAGCTACCGAGCAGGTGTGTCTGCTGTGGGCCCACGACAGCTGGTCCATCCAGGCCCTCCAAGCCCGGTGGCTCCTGCCCAATCAGTACACAGAGTCCCTGGGGCTGTGGCATCTGGTGCACACAAGCTGGTTAGTGAGCAACCAGGCTGGGGGGCCACTGGCAAGTGCCGCCGGAGAAGGAAGACTGAGGATTGGGGGGTGGGAGCTGGAGGGACAACCTTCCAAGCAGAGGAGCAGAGTGTGGCAGCCCAGAGGAGACCCAAGGGTGAGACAGTGCCAGACGCTGGGAGGGGTAGGAGTGGGCTGTGAAGGGTGTGGGTTGTGGCAGATGCCTGGTGCCACTGTGTGGATGAGAGGGGCTCTCAGGTGCAGCCCCCATGTGGGGTGAGGAAATGGGAGGATCAGGGTGATTCGGGTGTTGGCCAGCGCCTGGGAGGGAGGTGCCTGTTCAGTGTGGGTGCTTCAGTGGGGTCTGTGTGGACAGCACAGGGGCACAGGGCTGGGCATGAGCCCTGCAGGGCCATTGGGGTGCATCTGGTTTTTAAGGCCAACATCTAAAGTCAGTTGCTTCAGGGAGCATGAATATTTGTGGAGATTTTGCTCACAGTCTGGTCCAGGCCTGGGGACCCTGAGCCCAGTCGCCTGGTCTGATCCTGCCTCTGGGTCTAGGTACCTGGCCGAGCTCTGTGGTGTTGGTGCTGCACTCCCAGGCACCTGCGGAGGAGGGCCCAGGGCCGAGTTTCCCACGGTGAGTCTTGCATCCCTGCTGAGCGTGCCGGCCTGGTGGGCTCCAGGAAAGGGGGTGACTGAGTGCGTCCCTGGGGGGCTGCTGCTGGCAGGGGTGCACCTCACTGAGCTAGCCCCCCGTGCCATCTGCAGGGCGTGAAGCTGCTCTCCTACCTCTATCAGGAGGCGCTGCACAACTGCAGCAATGAACACTACCCCGTGCTGCTGTCCCTGCTGAAGACCAGCTGCGAGCCCTACACGCGGTGGGCAGCGGGCTGGGGGGGGCTGGGCTGTCGCACACTCCCACCAGACAGACATCTGAGAGCAGCCCCTTGTCAGACACCTGTTGAATGTGGGGCTCACATAGGAAGGGGAGGACAGGATAGGTGGACTGGGCAGGAACCCCCCACCCCCTACCCTAAACCCTAATGGACAGCATGCCCCACCCTTGCCTCCATGGACAGCCATGCCCCTGCTTCTCACTGCTGGCCCCACCCAGCTCTCCACTGACCACACCCACCCCTGCTGCTCTCCCACTGCAGCTTCATCCACGACTGGGTGTACAGCGGGGTGTTCAGAGACACTTACGGCGAGTTCATGATTCAGGTGAACCAGGAGTACCTCAGCTTCCGAGGTAGGTGGCAGTTGGCTGTGGGGCGGGGCTCTGTGCCTGTGGGCCTGGGTTCAGGGCCATAGCATGCCAGCCACGCTGGTGTTCCCCCCACCATAGATAAGTCATACTGGACCCATGGCTACGTGCTCATCTCCAAAGAGGTAGAGGACTGTGTTCCCGTGTTTCTGAAGCACATTGCCCATGACGTGTACGTCTGCGGGAAGACCATCAACCTGCTGAAGCTCTGCTGTCCACGGGTGAGGAGGGGCTCCTGTGTGGGGAAGGGAGCAGCTGGGGCTGTGTCTGAGGCCAGGGCTGAGTCCCGGCGGCTGTGCCTGCATCCCCTTTGGCAGCATTACCTCTGTTGGTCTGATGTCCCCGTACCCCGGATCTCAGTGATTTTCTCCCTGGAGGAGTTGAAGGAGATTGAGAAGGACTGTGCTGTCTATGTTGGGCGCATGGAGAGAGTGGCCCGTCACAGCTCTGTCAGCAAGGAGGAGAAGGTGCGTCGCGCCACAGGTCTTGGGGGCTTTCTTTGTTCCTGCCTCTGCTTCCTGGCGTCTCAGGCTGGTGGGGAGGATGTGAGGGCCATGCAAGATGGGTGGGCTCCCTTCTGGCATTTTCTGTCCTGGTGGTGTGGGTGGGTGGGTGGGTGCCAAGGGGGAGTTGAGATGAATGTCCTGGAGCCAGATGCCAGGGAGGGGCTCTGTCCTCCTGGGTCTGGGTGGCTCAGCCTGAAGCCCAGGCCTTGCTGGCTTGGGAAGCTCCACTGGGGCTTCCCTTGGGCCTGCTGGCTGTGGACAGATAGTCCCAACTGTGCTCCAGGGCGGCAGAGTGTGTGGTTCCACACGCAAGTGGCCTTTGCAAACTCCCCTCCTACTGGGAAGGGATGATGTCAGAAACAGGCCACGCCTCTCCTGCGTCCTCAGGGAGGGGCTTAGTGGTACATTTGGTGCCATTCCCAGGAACACGCTTTCTGGCCTGGGCAGGGGCAGGGCCAAGAGGCTAAGCAGGAAAGCTTCCTCTCCTCTCTGAGGCCCCTTGGTTTCCCTCCAGGGTGGACACACAGCCTGGGGTCCTCAACCCCCAGATGTCTCTGTGGGAGCCAGTCAGCTCCAGTCCGTGGCCTGGAGCCAGCCTTGCCACTGCTGAGAGCCAGGGCGGGGGAGGGTGTCCTGCTGTCATTTGGCGCCTCCTCTCACCCTTGGGCTGTGTGTCTTGCCTGCCGGCCCTGATCCCACATGTGTCCTAGGTGAGGGGTCAGAGGACTAGGTTGCTTTTCTTCTTTTTTTTTTTTTTTTTTGTGAGATGGAGTTTCGCTCTTGTTACCCAGGCTGGAGTGCAATGGCGCGATCTCGGCTCACTGCAACCTCCGCCTCCTGGGCTCAGGCAATTCTCCTGCCTCAGCCTCCTGAGTAGCTGGGATTACAGGCACGTGCCACCATGCCCAGCTAATTTTTTGTATTTTTAGTAGAGACGGGGTTTCACCATGTTGACCAGGATGGTCTCGATCTCTCGACCTCGTGATCCACCTGCCTCGGCCTCCCAAAGTGCTGGGATTACAAGCTTGAGCCACCGCGCCCGGCCTAGGTTGCTTTTTTTTCCTTTGTCAGGGTCCCACTGTGTCGGCCAGGAGGCTGGAGTACAGTGGCACCAACATGGCTCCCTGCAGCCTCCACCTCCCAGGCTCAAGGGATCCTCCTGCCTCGGCCCACCCCCCAAGTAGTTGATACTATAGGCGTCTGCCACCACACCTGGCTAATTTTTGTGTCTTTGTAGAGATAGAGTTTTGCCATGTTGTTCAGACTGGCCTGGAACTCCTGAGCTCTCATGATCCACCCACCTCAGCCCCCTAAAGTGCTAGGATTACAGGCATGAGCTGCTGTGCCTGGCCAGCATTGTTTGTTTACCAATTGTCTTTTTTAGGAATTACGTATGGAAATTGCAAAACAGGAATTAATTGCTCATGCCCGGGAAGCAGCCTCCAGGGTCCTGAGTGCACTGAGTGGTGAGTGGCCCCAAGTCCTCCCTTCTACAGTTCTGGGTGTGCCTTGCTGGGGCCTCCTTGTGACTGTGTGCCCCTTACTTTCCCAATGCAGACCGGCAGATGTCAGAGCGGATGGCCTTGGACGCCCGGAAGCGCGAGCAGTTTCAGAGGCTGAAGGAACAGTTTGTGAAGGACCAGGAGGTAGGTGGGACCTGCCCCTGCTGGGTCAGGCCTAAGTCCTGATTTTACAGCCCAGGCTGTGTGTGTTTTACAGCGACGCCAGGCGGCCAGGCAGGAGGAGCTGGATGACGACTTCAGCTATGCCCGTGAGCTCCGAGACAGGGAGAGGAGGCTGAAGTCCCTGGAGGAGGAGCTGGAGAGGAAGGCAAGGTGGGGCAGCAGGGGCCCCAGGCCCAGGGGTGCGGGTGCAGCAGGGGCCCCGGAGCTCTGCTTTAATCTTACTGATGATTTTACTTTGTGTTTTGAAAACCTTCAGGCATACATTAAGGTAGAAAGACCAATATGCTGAACCCAGAGTGGCTGTGGCCTTTCTGCCATACGCAGGCGTCCGTACCCATCCCAAGTGTTGCCTTGTGGGTGGTTTGTATGGATGAGGATCTGAGCAAGGCCTGTGTGCTGTTTGGGGTCCTGTCTCTTTGTTTATCTTCTTTTTTTTTTGAGACAGAGTTTCGCTCTTGTTACCCAGGCTGGAGTGCAATGGCGCGATCTCGGCTCACCGCAACCTCCGCCTCCTGGGTTCAGGCAATTTTCCTGTCTCAGCCTCCTGAGTAGCTGGGATTACAGGCACGTGCTGCCATGCCCAGCTAATTTTTTTGTATTTTTAGTAGAGACGGGGTTTCACCATGTTGACCAGGATGGTCTCGATCTCTTGACCTCGTGATCCACCCGCCTCGGCCTCCCAAAGTGCTGGGATTACAGGCTTGAGCCACCGCGCCCGGCCTTCATGTACTTTTTTACATTAGTTTTCAATTCTCAGGTCTGCACCTGTAGGAGAAGAGGCCCTGCTTCTTAGGGGCCTGGGGCCCTCAGCTTCCTGCTCACCCCTTGCTTCAGGCCATGCAGGATCTCATTCTGGTTTTCATCCAACAGACCTTGCTGAGCCCTTGCTGGGCACCGACTTGCCAAGGTTTCCCAGCCTGGCAGGTGGAAGGGCCTGCCTGGTGCCACCCTGCAGGTGCCATGAGGGCCCAGAGCTATCCGGCCCTGGCAGGGGGAGATTAGGGGCAGGGGCCCACTGGGGCCTCTGTTGTGCAGAACCATTCTCGCCCGAGGGGCGCCAGGTGGATGGGGTGGGGTGACTCTTGTGGCTGTGTCCTTTCTGGGTGTGGCTTCAGGCAGGCGCTGGTCGACCACTACAGCAAGCTCTCTGCAGAGGCAGCTCGTCGGGAGCAGAAGGCGCTGTGGAGAATCCAGAGGCACCGACTGGAGAGTGCACGGCTTCGCTTTCTCTTAGAAGATGAGAAACGCATTCAGGTATCTCAGCAGCTTTAGATGGCAGCTCTTCCCCTGGGCTCTGGGGGGTCTAGTAACCCCCTGCAACTGCACACAGACCTGCGTGCTCTTATGGGAGAGGGCTGGTGGTTCTTGTGTTTGTGACAATGCCACTGAATTGCTGATAGAGGTGGTGAGGAGCTCGTGGTTTTGGAGTGCTTTCTGCAGGCTGGGGGCCCAGTGGAACCCAGCACAAGCCTTGTCTGGTTCAGTGCACGTGGCTGCTGTGGGCATAGGGGCCGTGCTTTTCTCCAGCTCTGCTGGTTATCCTTCTGGCTTGAATTTCAGGAAATGCTGAAAGCGATGACTGAGGCTCACCAGCCCCAGGAGCCGCCAGACTTTCTTTTGAGCCCACACTCCCAGGTGAGCAGCAGAGTAGAACCCAGGGTGCCCTAGCTCTGAGCTGGGGGTGCTGGGCCTGGCTGTTTTCCACAGCCCTTGGCACCTGGCGAGTGTCGGTCACGGCTGCAGAGCTGAACTTGGGACAGAGTTTGAGGGCTCTGGGAGCCTGAGGCCAGACTGGGTCTGATGTCATGTGTGTTTCAGGTCACATCTAGCCCTGAGCACCCAGACGGAGGCCAAGGCTGTGATTCTGGGACTGCAGAGCAACACTCGGCTTCCTGGGATTGCCCAAACAGGCCAGACCTGTGGACCCCACAGCCCCTTAAGCCTCTAGCAGTGGGAGCTGGTGGCCCAGGGCTGCAGCAGGCAGAGGAGCCTGGGTCCTTTTCCGACAACCTCAGCATTGGAGACTTCCTACCTGTGGGCCCAGGGGCTGAGCAGTCTTTGCAGACTGGCACGGTCCCTCTCCTGGAGGCAGCGCTGCAGACCATCAGCTCGGACCTGCCCGCCTCACCTCCTGGGGAGGCACCCGCAGCAGCCAACACTCAGCCCTCCAAGCCACAGGAGTACGACTTTAGTACTGTCCTGAGGCCGGCTGTGGCCGCCTCACCTTCACCAGGGCCCCTCCAGCCTGCAGAGTGCAGCTTGGGCGGCTTGGGGCCACAGCTGTGGGAGGACATTCATGGGAAGCTGGATGCCTGTGTCTCTGCCTTGCAGGTGGCCCTGCCTCCCTCACACCCACCCAGGTGTGCCGCCCTGGAGGAGGGGAGCAGCCAGCACATAGAGCAGCTTTCTGAGCATGTGTCAGAGGGTGGTGTTCCCACAGGGGGCTACAATTCTGGAATAGCTCCCACTCAGCCACAGTGGAATACCCACAGGCTTGTGTCCGATGCCAACATCAGGGTCGGGGAGCAAATGTCAGATGCAGCTCCCACCCGGCCACGGTGGAACATCCATGGGCACGTGTCTGATGCCAGTATCAGGGTTGGGGAGAACGTGTCGGACGTGGCTCCCACCCGGCCACGTTTGAACATCCATGGACACGTGTCCGATGCCAGCATCAGAGTTGGGGAGAATGTGTCAGACGTGGCTCCTACCCGGCCACGGTGGAACACCCATGGGCACGTGTCCGATGCCAGCATCAGCTTGGGGGTATGTGTGTCGGACGTGGCTCCCACCCGGCCACGGTGGAACACCCATGGACCCATTCCTCCGCCCCACGTGATGATGGGGGCCCTCTCACCAGAAACTGAGTCCAACACACCCAGGCCCCAGCAGAGCCTCCCTGGCCACATGTCCCAGTCAGTGCTCAGCCTGGGAGCACAGAACGCTGCTCTGGACTGTGGGCCACAGCTGCCTGTAGAAGTGGGGCCATCTCTCTCCTCCCCCAGCTTAGGCTGTGGGGAGGAGAGCACCAGCATGGGAGAGAACGTGTTGGCCTTGGCTCCCACTGTGCCACAGTGGAACATCGAGGGACACGTGTCCAACACCACCATCAGCATGGGGGAGAACGTGTTGGACATGGCTCCCTCCCGGCCACAGTGGAACATCGAGGGACACGTGTCCGACGACACCATCAGCATGGGAGAGAACACATCGGATGTGGCTCCCACCCGGCCATGCTGGCCCAACACTCTGGGAGACAGTGTCTCTGAAGAACCAGGTTAGAGTTGGGTGGCTGATGGCCGGTAGTGGGACTGTGGGACCCACAGAGCCTGGGAGGTAGGCGGGAGGTGGGGCTGGCTGTGAGTGAAGGTCCCCTCAGGACTCCTTGTTTGTCAGGGAGGACCTGAGCTGCTGTTTGGGGGACAGGGGAGGGGCTGCCTGGGCTAGGGCTGGCTCTGCTCTGTCCCCTGCGCAGGCGCTTGGCCCAGACACTCCCATGTCCACTTGTGTCCACACAGGCCCTGGGAGGAATGAAGACACTGAGGAGCTCTCTCCAAATTGGCCTCTGAACTCACAGGTGAGGTGGATGCAGCCTAGGGGGTCACAGCATGCAGGGAGGTCTCTGTGCCTCTAGGTTATCATGTGGGCAGATCCCATGTGCGATTTTCCTTTTGGCACAAGGTGGGCAAGTGGGGGCAGTGTGATGTGGGGAGGTGGCTCTCATGCTGGTGTTTTGTTAGGAAGACGCAGCTGCCCAGAGCAGCCCAGGACCTGGTGAGGCGGCGGCGGCGGAGGCCTGGGACGGGGAGCAGGCCTACCTGGCGGGCCTGTCAGGGCAGTACCACTTAGAGCGGTACCCGGACAGTTACGAGTCCATGTGTGAGTGCAGTGTTGCTGTGGTGGGGGCAGAGCCAGAGCCCTGGGCAGGCAGGTTCCTAGCACGCTCTCCATCTACCACAGCCGAGCCACCCGTCGCTCATCTTCTGCGCCCCGTGCTTCCCCGGGCCTTCGCCTTCCCCGTGGACCCCCAGGTCCAGCCCGCCGCAGATGAGACCGCTGTGCAGCTGAGTGAGTTGCTGACGCTGCCTGTGCTCATGAAGCGCTCCATCACGGCGCCGCTGGCCGCCCAGTGAGTGCCCCCACCCAGGCAGCCTGCCCACCCAGCCCGCCCCAGCGGCACCCTGATTCCAGCTCCCTCCTGTCAGCATCTCCTTGGTGAACAAGGCTGCCGTTGACTACTTCTTCGTGGAGCTGCACCTGGAGGCACACTATGAGGCGCTGCGGCACTTCCTGCTGATGGAGGACGGCGAGTTTGCCCAGTCCCTCAGTGACCTGCTCTTTGAGAAGGTGACTTCCGCACACAAAGCTGGGATGCGGCTGGTGGTAGAGGGGAGGCCGTGGGGAGGGGGAGACTGGCCCTGCTGCTCTGGCACAGCCCCATGAGGTGCTGGTGCGTGGCCAGGGACGTGCTTGGGGCTCCTGGGGATGTTAGTCCTTTTTCTGCCCAGCTTGGGGCCGGGCAGACGCCTGGGGAGCTGCTTAACCCGCTGGTACTGAACTCCGTGCTGAGCAAGGCCCTGCAGTGCAGCCTGCACGGGGACACCCCGCACGCCTCCAACCTCTCCCTCGCCCTCAAGTACCTTCCCGAGGTGTTTGCCCCCAATGCCCCGGATGTGCTGAGCTGCCTGGAGCTCAGGTACAAGGTCAGCAGCAGCCCTGGCCACGGGGATGGGGCAGGGGCCTGCCCACGGGACACCTGCTGAGCGGGGGGCTCCCGGCAGGTGGACTGGCCCCTCAACGTCGTCATCACCGAGGGCTGCCTGAGCAAGTACAGCGGCGTCTTCTCCTTCCTGCTGCAGCTGAAGCTCATGATGTGGGCACTCAAGGACATCTGCTTCCACCTCAAGCGCACAGGTGAGGCCTTGCTGGACCCCGGCGCCCCGGGCTTGAGGCTGTGCTCACCTCTGCCCTCTCCTCTCTGCCAGCCCTGCTGAGCCACATGGCCAGCTCCGTGCAGTTCCGCCAGCTGCAGCTGTTCAAGCATGAGATGCAGCACTTTGTGAGGGTCATCCAGGGCTACATTGCCAACCAGATCCTGCACGTCACCTGGTGCGAGTTCAGGGCCAGGCTGGCCACCGTGGGCGACCTGGAGGAGATGCAGCGTGCGCATGCGGAGTACCTGCACAAGGCCGTCTTCAGGTGAGGCCTGGGCACTGTTGCGTCCCTCGCCCTGGGGTGGCAGCTCAGCCCACCCAGCAGCACTGCTTCCCCCCAGGGGCCTGCTCACGGAGAAGGCGGCGCCCGTCATGAACATCATCCACAGCATCTTCAGCCTCGTGCTCAAGTTCCGCAGCCAGCTCATCTCCCAGGCCTGGGTCCCTGCTGGGGGCCCACGGGGTGCAGAACACCCCAACTTTGCACTCATGCAGCAGTCCTACAACACCTTCAAGTACTACTCCCACTTTCTCTTCAAAGGTGAGGCCCACCCCAGCTGGGAGGGCAATGCGGGGTTCACAGTGTGGGCAGAGGCCTGAGTGGCTCATTGATCCCCAGTGGTGACCAAGCTGGTGAACCGCGGCTACCAGCCTCACCTGGAGGACTTCCTGCTGCGCATCAACTTCAACAACTACTACCAGGATGCCTGAGGCTGCTCTGCCGGGGACATGCACAATAAACGTGTCCTTGAACCCTGTTTGTTTGTGTCTCTCTCTCCCAGGTTGGGGCTGAGGACAGGGCAGGGGGGAAGAATGACCACAGAGACGGGCCTGAGGGAGATGCTGGTTTACTTACGAGCCTGGGTCCAGTGCCCAGGGGCCAGGTGGGTGGTAGAGCTGCCCTGCTGAGCCAGCGTCAGACAGAGACAGGTCAGGTCCTGACTGGATGTCTCTGCCTTCATGGAAAGACAAGTGTGTGTGGGCCAGCACAGAGGGCGTAGCCTGGCACTGTCTTGGCCACTCAGCAACACACTGGGGCCTCGGGGGACTCCAGGGATGTGGAGCATGCCGAGGCCATTACGATGATCACGTCACACACAGTTCTGCTGCCCAGAGTGGGGGCTTGCTGCTGTAGGAACGCTGCCCACCAGTTGCCCCTCTGGCCTCTGTGGCCTCGGGCTCTGTGGCGGCCCCTGCCTCGCAGTGGTAAGGGGTCTCCAGTAGCTTCAGTACCCGCCGAACCTGGAGGAGTGTGAGGGTGAGAGGAGTCTGAGCCCAGCCCTCCTCCCACAGACCAGAGGGTTAGTCATGTGCTTGCCTCTGAGAAGTCCCCACGCTCGGCAGCCTCGATGGCGTTCTGTGCGATGTAGTTCCTCAGCACATACTTGGGGTTGCTGGCGCGCATCACACGCACACGCTCGGCCTGCCAGGCAGCAGCATCTCCAGCACCCTCCAGGTCCTTGTCCAGCCGGGCTCTGGAATTACAGCCGGGCTCTAGAATCACAGCCGGGATGGACCTTCCCAACATGACCACGGACGCAGAGCTCACCTGTACGCCTGAAGCCAGGTGGCCCAGTGGTCCTGGTTCCTGCTCTGCAGCTCGGCCGCGCTTAGCTGTTCCAGCTGAGACTGCTGCTCCACACGCTCCAGCTCCCTGGCGATGCCTGCCCGGGTGCCCATGAGCGCAAACAGCTGCGGGTTTGACTGTGCCAGCATCAACATCATGGACAGCTGCCTGCAGGGAGGCCGGGGTGTCTGGGAGGCAACCCTCGACTGTTCTGCCCTGTAGGCAGGTGTTCCTTCCGCCCCACCCTTCAGTCCCACTGGCAGGGACGGACCCGGGTGGGCACACACCAGCCATGCCCATGCTCTGCTGCCCAGCTTCCTGCTGGAGTCTCCGCCTCCAGAGTTCAATGCTTGTGGGACAGGCACTGCTATTAGCACTTCCCTTATTTCCAGAAGGGTCCAGATGGGCAGGGGGCTTCATGTCAGCAGGGCCTACTCGCCAGTGCTCCCAGCCAACCCCACTAGTCTTGTTTTTTAAGTTAAAAGCAATAGCCGGTGTGGTGGCTCATGCCTGTAATCCCAGCACTTTGGGAAGCCAAGGCAGGCAGATGACCTGTGGTCAGAAGTTCAAGAGCAGCCTGACCAACATGGAGAAATCCCATTTCTACTACAAATACAAAATTAGGCATGGTGGCGAATGGGCTTGTAGCTACTTGAGGCAGGAGAATTGATTGAACCCGGAGGCAGAGGTTGCAGTGAGCTAAGATGGTGCCATTGCACTCCAGCCTGGGAAACAGGAGTGAAACTCCTATTTAAAAAAAAAAAAAAAAAAAAAGGCAACAGCACTTGGGCAGGGACTTCCCTTTGGAAGATGGTGTGGGAAAGGCTGGCCTCTGGGAACCTGTCCTCTCTGGCAAGTCAGAGGCTTTCTCTGAGGCTCACCTACAGCAGAGACCACTCTCCCCCCACACCTGTGTTGGCATCATCACCCTCTCCTCTGTAACCAGTGGGCCCCAGTACCTCAGAGACCCTGACTGCACCGTTCCCTGGGAGCAGAGCAGCCACCTGGGCCCCAGCCAGCTCTGCCTTCAGCTTCCCCTCCGGCCCTCTTTCTGATTGTGCTTCCCCTTCTGGAAACAAATCCAAGGAAGCAGGAACCAAGTACTCACCGGGGATCCATCTGGGGCCGGAAGGCTAGCCTCAGCTCCTCCAGGGAAGCACACTGCTCCATCAGCCTGGCCAGGAACTCCGCCAGGCCCGGTGACTCCGGATCCACCAGGAAGGAACTCAGCAAGTAGAAGGTGTTTGTGAAGTCAGCACCTGGAACACAGGCTGCTCAGAGCCAGAAGCAGAAGGCCCAGGGTCCTCAACCTGGTGCCACTCGGACCCACACACTGGCACAGGTGCTGCACAGACCTATAGCCCCCACCCCCGCACAGGTGCTGCACAGACACATGTGTTGCCCCTGGTACAGGTGCCACAAACGCCCTCCTCCCAACCCCGGCACAGATGCCTGACAGACACACTGCCTCCGGGTATAGGTGCTGCATGAGCCCTGTTCAGCACTGGATCCTGCGACTCCTGAGCCCTCCACAGCCCACTCCTCCGCCTCCACCCATCCACCGCCCAGCAAGGCTACCACTCGGACCCTGCAAGCCACCTTGTAACGTGGGCTAATACTGAGAAGGCATGGAGGCTGCTGCTGGCCTCATGTCATCACAGTCACGACTGCCTGCTTTGAGAGCTACTGAGTGTTGAGAAGCTGCTGTAACCCACCTGCAGAAGACCCAACATGTGAAAGACAGATCCTCCCCGATCAGGGAAACACTGTCATGTATAACCACAGTAACCCCTAGGACAACATCTAAAAACAACAGAAAATGAGACGGGAATCAAAGCAATGTACTGCGACAAAGTCCAATACACATGAAGGAGGCGGCGATGGAGAACGCAAGGGACCAAAAACATGGCAGAAGTTGTTCCTGATCAGTAATAATCCTCCAACAAGAAGCAGATAGGCAAAAATGGGTGAAAAGACCATTTCCATGCTGTCTACACAATCTGCAGAATGTTCAAAATCACGAACAGGCTGGAAGTGAAAGGGTGAAAAAACCGAGGTAAAGAGCAACCTGAAGAGAGGTGAGGCGACTACACTCAAATCAGGTAAGTTTTCTTTTCTTCTTTGAGACATAGTCTTGCTCTGCCGCCCAGGCTGGAGTGCAGTGGTATGATCTCGGCTCACTGCAACCTCCAACTCTCGGGTTCCAGCGGTTCTCCTGCCTCAGCCTCCCAAGTAGCTGGGATTACAGATGCCACCACCGCCATGCCCAGCTAATTTTTGTATTTGTAGTAGAGATGGGATTTCACTATATTGGCTAGGCTGGTCTAGAACTCCTGACTTCAGGTGATCTGCCCACCTTGGCCTCCCAAAGTGCTGGAATTACAGGCATGAGCCACCGTGCCCAGCGAGATAAGATTTTAAATAAAAAATTGTCACAAGGGCCAGTAAAGGTAGCTCACCCCTGAAATCCCAGCTACTTGGGAGGTTGAGGTGGGAGGATCACTTGAGCCCAGGAGGCGGAGGGTGCAGTGAGCCGTGCCCGTGCCCAGGAGGCGGAGGGTGCAGTGAGCCAAGATTGAGCCACTGTACTCCGGCTGGGGTGACTGATTGAGGTTCTGTCTCAAAACCAAAAAACAAACCCGAAACACAACATGTCAAAATTGATGGATACCGCAGAAGCAGTGACCAGAAGAACATATACAGCTATAAATGGCTACACTGAAGAAAAAGATCTCCAATCAGTAACCTCACCTCATGCCTAAGGAACTGGAGAAAGAACAGCCAAGACCGAAGTTAGAAGCAGGGAGGGAACTATGATTAGAGGGAGAAAAATGAAAAATGGAATAGGCTGAAGAAACAGAGGACAGATACTGCGTACTCCACTTGAGGCAGATTCCCAGACTCGAAGTGGAGTGCAGCTACCAGGGGCTGCAGGGAGGGAGTGGGGAGCTGGTGACCGACACACACAGGGTTCTGGCGGTGATGTGAACGGGCTCCAGGCTCTGCTGTCCAGCACTGCTCCTGTGACAGCACTCACGTGCTGTACACTACCTGTGCTCTCAGACAGCGAAGAGGATCTATCTATGTTAAGTGTTCTTACCACAATAAAATAGTTTTTAAAAACCTGCTGTGAACAATTACATGCCAAAATTGCCTACATGACATGGATAACCCACAGGACACAAAAATTCCTAGAAACACAAATTACCAAAGCTGACTCAAGAACAACAGAAAATCTAAATTGATCTAAGAGAAGCAAGGATATTGAGCAGTAATAAAAAATTTTCCAACAAAGAAAAGTTCAGGACCAGGTGGCTTCACTGGTGAATTCTATTGAACATTTTTTTTTTTTGAGATGGAGTTTCGCTCTTGTTACCCAGGCTGGAGTGCAATGGCACGATCTCGGCTCACCGCAACCTCCGCCTCCTGGGTTCAGGCAATTCTCCTGCCTCAGCCTCCTGAGTAGCTGGGATTACAGGCACGCGCCACCATGCCCAGCTAATTTTTTTTTGTATTTTTAGTAGAGACGGGGTTTTACTGTGTTGATCAGGATGGTCTCGATCTCCTGACCTTGTGATCCACCCGCCTCAGCCTCCCAAAGTGCTGGGATTACAGGCTTGAGCCACCGCGCCCGGCTCTATTGAACATTTTAAGTAGTAGTAGCAATCCTTCTCAAACTTTGAAGAAAAAAAATGGAAGATGTGGGAATACCTCCTAGCTCACTCTGAGGCCAGCACTGCCTTGACATCAAAGCCAAACACTAAAGAAAAAATGAAGCAAAACTATGAACCAGTATCCCTTACGAATACAGATGCAAAAATACTCAAAATATTAGCAAAATTAAGCATATTAAAATAATTATACAGCATATGGCCAGGCGCGGTGGCTCATGCCCGTAATCCCAGCACTTTGGGAGGCTGAGAGGCAGGCAAATAACCTGTGGTCAGGAGTTTGAAATCAGCCTGACCCACATGGAGAAACTCCCGTCTTTACTAAAAATATAAAAATTAGCCGGGTGTGGTGGTGAGTGCCTGTAATCTCAGCAACTCAGGAGGCTGAGGCAGGAGAATCGCTTGGACCTGGGAGGTGGAGGTTGCCATGAACCGAGATCACGTCACTGCATTCCAGCCTGGGCAATGAGAGTGAAACTCCATCTCAAAAAAAAAAAAAAAAAAAAATTATACAGTGTATTAAAAGGACCAAGTAAAATTTATCCCCAGAATGCAAGGAGATATGAATGAAACAATAAACATGACCATTTTCATTGCAGGAAAAAGCACTGATAAAATACAATAGCCTTTCATGGCAAAAGCACTCTAAAGGAAAACTTCAGCATTGTAAGTTACATATAAAAAAGGCCACAGCTAACATCACACTCAATGGGTGAAACCCTGAACACTTCCCCCGCAAAGGTCAGGAACAAGAAAAGGGTGCCCATCTCTGCTACTTCAATTAAACATGCATAGCTCCAGGTCCTAGCTAGTGCAATCCAGGGAGTCGCCCACATGATCCTGCAATTCTACCAACTGTGTGCCCCAAAGACCTGAAAGCAGGGATTTGGAGACCTCTGCACTGCGTTCATAGCAGCACTGCACACAGTACACAATATACCGTACACAACAGCCAGGAGAGGACAGTGTAGGCCACAAGGTCACAGAGAAGCAAACTGGCCTGTCCATGCAACGGGATGCTTCTCGGCCTTCAAATGGAGTAAAATCCTAAATCCTGAGAGAGACCTGGATGAACACTGAGGTCCTTACGCTACGTGAAATAAGCAGTCACGAAAGGACAGACACTATTATGAATCCACTCACAGGAGGTCCCTAGATTCACCAAGTTCATGAAGACAGTAGAATGGATATGCCAGGGGCTGGGGTGGGCACAGGAGTGAGTGTGCACCTGGAAATGGCTGGAAAGGTAGACCATCGCTAACCACAACAGAACCGGAAACGCCTGCTGTGGGCATGGCTGGTCACTCACCGGTCAGGTGCATGGTCTGCAGGAGCTTGGACACCAGCGCCCCGTCTTCCTCCAGCTCCACCTGCACGAGGCCCAGTTTCCTTCGCATCTTCTGCAGGTAGTGCCTTTGGAACTCGGTGTCAAACTCCTCGGCCAGGATGGCCTCGCCCAGCTCCAGGGGCAGCTCCGGCTGCAGCGCCTCAGCCAGCTTCTGCAGGTTCCACTTGCACACCTCGGGCTGCTTGCTGTATGCGTAGCGGCCAGTGTTGTCTGAGGCGTTGCACACGTGGTCGGGGTCGTACCTGCCACACAGGGCAAGACAGCCATGCCCTGCCTGAGGGGATGCTCCCAGCAGACGGCACAGGCTCCCTGGAGGGGAGGCCCAAAGGAAGTTCTCGTGTGGCTGTGGCTCTCCTGTCCTGTCTCTACAGCCTCTGGCCAAGGTCTCTGCATTGCCCCGACTCTTGTTCCTGTATCAGCCACCAACCCCGTGGGCTCCCCCTCCCGCACCACGGGCCAGTGTCTGGGGCAGCAGGTTTCACGCAGCCTGTACTCTGCTAGGCCCCAGGGCTGCTCACCTGTCCAGGAAGCCGAAGGGCCCATAGTCGATGGTCAGCCCCAGGATGCTCATGTTGTCGGTGTTAAGCACGCCGTGGCAGAAGCCTACGCACTGCCACTCGGCCACCATCCGCGCCGTGCGCCGCGTCACCTGGGACAGGACAGTGTGCTTGCTCCCTCCGGGTCCTCCCCAGACCCCCCCACTTGCATCCTCCTTCCCCTCCCGAAACCAGCTGTGCGTCGCTGAGAGGCTCTCGCTCTGGTATTTCTGGGCAACCTGTCTGGATGACCTCTGTCATCGTTTCAACCACAGGGCAGTGATTAAGAGTGTGTTGGGAGGGTTCTCATCCCCACTTACAGCATCCACTCTTTTATATGCTCACAAAATTTGGCTTTTACCCAAACTAGAAAAATCAGGGAACCTCAGACTCAGGCCCAGTAGGGACCCCAAAGAAGCAGGGAAGGGCCAGCTCACCCCAGGGCCACGCCTGCCCCAGGGCCAGGCCACTGTCCACTCCGGTGCCATCAACCAGACAGCAGTTCCCACACAGCCCAGTGCTGGCAACCTTGAGAACAGTGGCCAATCAACAGGGAGGCCAGGAGCCCCCAAGATGCAGGGTGCACCGAGGGCCCCACTGAGCACAGGCCCGACACCGCCTCACTCCTGCAAGGCCACTGACACTCCTGGGAGGCAGCTGGCGCCGTCCTCTGAGGCTCAAAGGGGCAGAGTATCCTGCCCTGACCACACACCCACATCTACGCCAGATCATAAGGCTGTGCCCACTGCTCCTCCTGGCTTTCTGTGGCCCCGCCGCCCGCCCACATGAAGCATAGCTGAGGCGGACTGAAGGACACAGCCCCAGGAGCACCTGTCTGGCGCCCACTTCTGCTGATGGCAGCTCAGTAGCTCCCAGCCACGTGCAAAAGCGGGTCCCCACACAGCCCCGGCTGCAGCTGCTCCAGGGATGGCCTGAGACCTCTCAAAGAAAATGCTGTCCCTAGGCCCCCTGAACCCCCACCTGGCCCAACCCCACTGATGCTGCAGGCCCCCAGCCCGGCCAGGCCAGGCGCCACGTCTCCCTACTGTGCCCTGAATGCCCTGTGACAAGGATGACACCATCAGACCGTGTGGGACCTATGTGCTATCCGTAGGGCAGGGACCCAGACCCAAGCTGGGCCCTCAGCACCTCCCCAGTCAGGACCTGGCTGGCTGCTCTGGGCATCATGACATGTCGACCCACCTGGGAGGGGCCCAGTATCCATGGGTGCTTCCACCCAAGCCAGCTCCTCCCCACCCCCATCCCGAGCTGGACCTGTAAGGACTCCAGCAGGAGAGCACACCCAGGCCCCCCAACGCCACTGGGCACAGAGGAGCTTCAGGTTTGTCCCAGGGCCCAATCACACAGTATTCGTGAGAAGTCGGCGCAAGGGATGGGATTTATGGACAGGACGGGGAGCTCGGAGAAGGGTGGGAGGCAAAAGCCTCTGTCCCCGGCCAAAATGAGGGTGTCTTCAGCACAGGTGGGGACACCCAGCACCTCCCGCAGCGGGGATGGTGTGCAGCCCACTGACCTCCCGGAAGAAGGCGGCATTTCTCTGCACACTGTCGCTGGCGTGAGCAGCCTGGATCTCAGGGTAGAAGGAGCTGATGACGTAGTTGAGCAGCTGCACGCGAATGTCGCTCCTCCCCACGCTGGGGCCTGCGCGCCCTGAGTGCTCATCTGCGGACTTAAAAATCTCAAAGGATCCAAACCTGGAGGGAAGACCCGAGTTGTCAACAGGTCAAACCTGACCCCAGCCCCTTGTGAGAATAAGAAAAAAGACGTTGTCCTGGCTGTTCGATCTTGTAGCTCTAACGCAGAGAGAGAACCCTGATTAAAACAAAAACAGCCATCCAAGATGCAGCAGGCTTTACCCAACACAAACACAGACATGTTCCACTTTTGGTCAACATCCAGCCACTGAACAAGCCCTGTTCGCAGTCTGGGCACGTGCCAGGGAGGCCCACGGGCTAGAAACCACCAAGGCTCCCTGCACCCCCACCCCAACCCCATGAGGAGGGTTTTCTGCAGGTTTTACACATGGAGGGGGCTTGGCTGCCACTGTGTCCTTGGGGAGGGAGTGCAAAGGAGAGTCAGCTTCCACAGACACGCATCTGTGAGCACTCAACAGCGGCCATCTTGCAGGGTGACCGTTCCCTAGGGGACATCAGGCAATGTCTGGAAACATCTTTTGTTGTCACAACTGGGGTTACTGTTGGCAGCCACAGGGCCCAGGGCAGGGAGGCTGCACGGTGCATAGGATGGACTCCACAGTGATGCCCGCAGAGCTGCTGGACAGGGCCTCGGAGGAAGTTGCTGCCCCAGATCCTTCCCATCCCCCCAGAGGACAGGAAAGGCCAGAGGCCCACAGGCAGCCTCAGGTGTGGGTGGCTGGATGGGGCCACAAGCCTAAAGGCCACCTCTGGACCACTCTATATTCAGGCGTTCAGGAGGAGATGCTGGATGCCAGGTGGCAAGGTGACATCGAAACCTAATGGCTGGGCCTGTCATTCCAGCACTCTGGGAGGCCGAGGCGGGCGATCACCTGAGGTCAGGAGTTTGACACCACCTTGTGAACATGGAGAAACTCCGTCTCTACTAAAAATACAAAAATTAGCTGGGTGTGGCGGCGCATATCTGTAGTCCCAGCTACTCAGGAGGCTGAGGCAGGAGAATTCTTGAGCCCAGGAGGTGGAGGTTGCAGTGAGCCTAGATCGCACCATTGCACTACAGCCTGGGCAACAGAGTGATGGTCCGCCTCCAAAACAAAACAAACAAAAACAACGAAAACTGGTAACTGATGGCTCACGTCAGACAGGAGACAGCTCAGAAGGACATCAGACCAACGAGCAGCTGGACCATCAGATGAGAAAGCAGGAATGTGACACCAGGCCCAGCATGCTCGCAGCTCCTGCTGCTTCAGCGGCCATTTCCTCAGTCAGGTCTAAGGAGTTCCTTGCCATAAACTCCAGCAAACAGCTCTGGACACTGTCCCCAACCTCAGGCAGCCCCTTACGGGAAGCACCAGGCAAGGACCCTTCTCTCTGCCCGTGGCCCTGTACCCCCTTGCTGGTGCTCCGAGGCACGCCAGCTCCCACAGGGCCATCTCTGGCTGCAGCGAGAGCCCGGACTGGCACGTGGGAGGGCTTGGCCGACGCAGGTGTGCCAACCCAGGACCGAGTGCCTTTGTGTTCAAATCTCGGCCAGCGAGTGTCATGCAGCTGCTTTGCGGACAGGCAGCTTCTGAGGCTGCTGGGGATGGGCTGGACTCTGAGAAGAGGCCACAGCGGTCATCTGGGTTTGTCTGTTTCTACCAGAATCCTAGCAGCATAGGCCCAAATCTCCTAAGACTCTATAAGCAAGTGCGTATAGACAAGCCTAAAGGACCCCGGCATTACCTTATGAAAGTGGAAGCTATACGCAACACAACTGTGCATTTTTCATATTTGGGATTACCATCATAGAACACATCACGCGCCACCGTGGACTCAGATGTGACGCACGCACCAGCCCGTGTGGTGGGGATCCCCAGGTGGAACATGGCTTCGCTGCACAGGAACTCCCGAATGCTTGACCGCAGGACCTTGCGACCGTCGGCCTGTCTGAAACCAAACACAGAGTTCACTACACAGGCGGGCAGGAGTCACCCAACACCAAGACTCACGGCAGCACATGGAGAGGAGGGAAAGCATGTCAGAGCCACGAGCAGCTCGCATGTCACTGAAAACAGCCCATCCTAGGGGACACTGCCCAGTTCCAGCCACCGCGCACCCAGCAGGTCGTTGGCACAGACTCTGATAAAAATGGGCCTGAACACGAAGCAGCCCGTCCTGCCCAGGAGGAGGTTCCACAGCAGCAGCTGGGACTGTGAGACTGGGCTGCAGGGGCAAAGGGCCTGGGGCAGCCTTGCCCCATGGGACAGGTCCAACAACAGCCTTCGTCTGCACCAGGATGGATGCCCAGGTATGGGCGAGCCAGGGAATCGGCTCCCGTGTCTGCTGGAGAGGTTATCCCGAACCTCCCACACCACCTGCCAGCCTGCAGAACCCCCCCTTGGGGCTCTAACAGTGCTGGGTTCAGGCCACTCACAGCCACTTTGGACCCCCAGATCTCACATCCCTTCCCTACCCCACATCGCAGGTGACTGGCCTCGGCCTCAGGTCCTGCAGAACTGCTGAGGCCAGGCACTCCAGGACACGTGTGGGAGGGGGATGCGAGACCTGAGGGCCAGATGACTGCCCCCTTTTTCTTCATTATTTTCATTGTGGTAAAATACATATAATACAAATATTCTGTCTTAAACCACTTAATTTTTTACTTTGAGACAGGGTCTCACTGTCACTAGGCCTGGAGTGCAGTGGCACGAACCTGGCTCACTGGGGCGCTCAAGCCACCCTGTCACCTCAGCCTGCCAAGTACTGTAGCTGGGAGGGACTACAGGCTAATCCTAAGATGAATTCTTACCTTTCTTTTTTGTAAAGATAAGAGTTTCATTATGTTGCCCAGGCTAGTCTTAAAACTCCTGGGCTCAAGCGATCCTCTCATCTTGGCCTCCCAAAGTGCTAGGATTACAGGCATTAGCCACAGTGCCTGGCCCATCTTAGCCATTTTTAAGTGTACAGATCAGTGCTATTAAACACACTGATAATGTTGCACAATCATCACCGCCATCCATGGGCAGAAATATGTCTTGTGAAACTGAAACTGTCCCTCGACTCCTCGACTCCCTCCTGACCCTGGCACCCAGCACTTTACCATGTCTCTGTGAATGTGACTATGCTAAGTACCTCATGTAAGTGGAAACACATAGGATTTGCCTTGCTGTGACTGGCTGATTTCACTCAGTGTCACGTCCTCAAGGGTCATGAAAGCTGCACCATGTCACAATCTTCTAAGGCTGAATAATTTCCCACTGTATGTACAGATCACATTTCATCCATTCATCTGCTGATAAGACACCTGTTCTGCCTTTTGCCTATGAATATGGATATACAAATATCTCCTTGAGATCCTGCTCTTAGGGACACACCCAGAAGCAGAATACGGTAATTCTATTTTTAACTGAGGAACTTCCATCCCGTTTTCCACAGCAACTGTACCATTTTACATTCCCACCAACAGTGCACAGGGTTCCAACTTCTCCACAACCTCAACACTATTTTTTTTAACTTACTTTTTTTTTTGAAACAGGGTCTCTCACTCTGTCACTCAGGCTGAGGTACAGTGGGGTGATAACGGCTCACTGCAACCTCCACCTCTTGGGTTCAAGCAATTCTCCTGCCTCAGCCTCCCAGGTAGTTGGGATTATAGGCATGCCTCACCCAGCTAATTTTTGTATTTTTCAGAGATGGGGTTTTACCATGTTGGCCAGGCTGGTCTCAAACTCCTGACCTCAAGTGATATACCCACCTGAGCCTCCCGAAGTGTTGGGATTATAGGCATGAGCCACTGTGCCTGACCAACCTTTTCTTTTTAAAAAAAAATTTTTAGGCCGGGTGATCACAAGGTCAAGAGATCGAGACCATCCTGGTCAACATGGTGAAACCCTGTCTCTACTAAAAATACAAAAAATTAGCTGGGCATGGTGGTGCGTGCCTGAAATCCCAGCTACTCAGGAGGCTGAGGCAGGAGAATTGCCTGAACCCAGGAGGCGGAGGTTGCGGTGAGCTGAGATCGCGCCATTGCACTCCAGCCTGGGTAACAAGAGCGAAACTCTGTCTCAAAAAAAAAAAAAAAGGCTGTTCTCCATCCAATGGTCTCAGCACACTTGCTAAAAATCTGCTGACCACATATATGAAGGTTTATTTCTAGGCTTTTTATTCTGCTCTACATCTACCCTTATGCCAATGCCACACTGTTTTGCTGACTACAGCTTTGTGGTTAAGTTTTGAAATCAGGAAACATGAGTCCTTCAACTTTCTTTGTATTACTTTTTGAGAAAGGGTCTCACTCTGTCATCTAGGCTGGAATGCAGTGAGACAATCACAGTTCACTGCAGCCTTGAATCCTGCGCTCAAGCAATTCTTCCACCTCAGCCTCCTGAGTAGCTGGGATTACAAACACATGCCACCTTACCCAGCTAATTAAAAAAACTTTTTTGAAGATACATGGTCTTGCTATTCCCCAAGACGGTCTTCAACTCCCGGCCTCAAGCAATCCTCCTCCCTTGGTCTCCCAGTGCTGGGATTGTAGGAATGAGCCACCACACCTGACCCCATGTGAACTTTAGAATGGGTTCTTCTATTTTTGCAAAAACTGTCATTGGTATTTTGATAATGACTGCAACAATCTCTTCAAAGAGCTTTTGTTTTCTTTCTTTCTTTCTTTTTTGAGACGGAGTTTCGCTCTCGTTGCCCAGGCTGGAGTGCAATGACACAATCTTGGGTCACCGCAACCTTCACCTCCCAGGTTCAAGCAATTCTTCTGCCTCAGCCTCCCAAGTAGCTGGGATTACAGGCACGCGCCACCACGTCGGCTAATTTTGTATTTTTAGTAGAGACAGGGTTTGTCCATGTTGATCAGGCTGGTCTCGAACTCTGGACCTTAGATGATCCATCTGCCTCAGCCTCCCAAAGTGCTGGGATTACAGGTGTGAGCCACCGCGCCTGGCCAGGAGTTATCTTTCTAATAAGTTATCCAACCCATGAACAAGGGATGTTTCCACTTACTTGTCTTCTTTAATTTTTTTCACTGTACAAGTGTCTTCCTTCTGGCGGCCACTTCAGACATTAGCCTCAATCTCAGAGACTGGTGAGGCCAGGGACCCCAGCTGCCCTCAGCCAATTTTTCAGACACAGAACCGAATGGGTTTGGGGGGTGGTGAGGAAGACCCTTGTCAGTCTGAGGAGCTTGCCGGGGAGACGGAGCCCTGGGAAAGGAATGCTGAGGGGCATTTCAGGCGCTGGACAGGGAGGAGATGAGAGCACACGGAGGGGTCCGATGAGAGGCAGATTTAACATTTCTCTGAACATAAAATATACATTTGTGGATATTTTTTTCTTAGTCATTCCATAAGCAATAAAGAATATGGAGTAAGTTCATTAACTGTTTAGTGGAAAAGAGCAGAACGGACTGCTGCCTGTACACAGGAGACAGTGTACACAGGCGAGTGCATGGCTCCCCTGTGGGCCTGGGCAGCATCTGGACCCAGGTCTTGCCTTGGACCACCTGTGTGTCGTTCCTCCCCCTCCCCGGAATCGAAACGATGCCCACCTCACCTCGGGGTCAAAGAGGGCTGCCCGCAGGGAGTCAGGGCAAGGCTTCTGTTAAGTCAGTCGCAGAGTGAGGCTGCTGGAAGAAGCGGCCCGCCCCATGAGCGATGGGAGGAAGGCTGGGGGCCTGCGGGGTTAGGGTTAGCCTAACCCCTCACCCCGGCTCCCGCCCCTGGGCTTGGAGCCCCAGCGAAGGTCGGTAAACACCAGCGGAGTCACTGGTGGAGCCGACTCCAGGGTCCTCTGCAGGCTGATGAGCTCAGGGCGCGGGCGGCTGCCAGCACCGCGTTCCCGCGGATGGAGGACAGGCCCCACCTGGCAGAGGCCGCAAGACGCCCCCGACACCGCACCGAGCGGAGGGGCAGGGGCGTCCCGGCGGGGAGGACCCACCCGCGTCCCTCGCCCGCCCTGGCCCACCTGGAGAAGGGCGTGGGCCCGGCGCCCTTGAGCTGCAGCTCCCAGCGCTCGCCGGCCGCCGTGCACACCTCGCCTAGGTACATGGCGGCGCCGTCCCCCAGCTGCCCGGCGAAGTGGCCGAACTGGTGGCCGCAGTAGCAGTGCGCGGCGGGCTCGGCACCAGGCAGGAGCGCGTTGCCGCTGAAGAACAACGCGGCCTCGGCCTCGGCCTCGGCCTCGGGCGCGGGCGGCGCCCCCAGGCCCAGCAGCGCCAGCGCGGGCTCCGACAGCGCCACGAGACGGGGCTGCCGCAGTGGGGTGGGCCGCACGCGGGTGAAGCAGGCCCCGGGCACTAGCCGCGGCGTGGTCGAGGCGCCCTCGGGACCGGCAGGCGGCGTCTCCACTGGCAGCTCGCGCAGAGCGCGGTTGTCAAAGCGCAGTCCCGCCAGCCAGCGCGGCGCAGGCTCCATGGCGGCGCCCGACAACGCAGAGCGGGGCACGGGCGACACGCGGCAGCGGCCGAGGAGCAGGAGACGGGCAACAGCTAGCGAAGCGCAGACCGCGACCCTTTGCGCGGCCATCCGCGGCGCCGCTCCCACCGGAAGCCGGCCTTCCCCGCCCGGAAGCCCCGCCCCGCGTGTTCTGGAACCCAGTCGCCAGTGGGAGGGGCGGGGTGGTGTCGTACCGGGCACTGATTGGCTCTCTGGTCCGTCTGTTCGCATCTCTGGTCCAGAGAGTCGGAGGCGTCGGGGTGGCAGCTGGCGTCTTGGGGCGCGCGCTGCCGCGAGCGGGGTGACACTTGGTGATGTCCCCGAGACCGCCATCGGCGACCCCGCTCGGGCAGCCCTGGATTTCCTCGGCTGCACCGGAGCCGGCAGTCGGTTCGGGTCGGGCAGGGGCTTAGAGCCGCGCCCCACATGCGGCTGGGACCCCACCTGGCCCCAGCCGCGGCTCTGGGCCGCCGGAGCCTCGCGCCGCCTCCCGCCTCTCGGGCCCTTTATTGTCTCGGAGGGAAGGGGTCTTGGACCCGGCACCGCCCCCGGAACCGATCCGGGGCTCGGAGAGGCTCCGCGAGGCCGCAGGCGCAGACGCTCCCAGAGGGCTGGGCGGGCACCGGCGTCCGCGGCTGGCTTGAGGGACCCGACCTCTGGGGGAGGAGTTTGGGTTCCGTTCGGCCGAAGGAACGCGGGGCTTCAGACGAGCCTGAGGGCCTCCCGCTTTCCATCTCCTCCCCGACCGGGCCCCAGAGGACAGTCTGAGAGGCGGGTGTCCCCGGACCCTGGACGCGCTTCCCGCCTGCCGTGGTTTCCCTTTATTCCGGCAGCGCCGCAAGTCCACCTTTCACTTCTGGGAGCTGCGTCCAGAACCTTCTCCTGGGGCTACAGCCTGGCGAAGCTCTCAGGACCCTCCGTGTGGGTGGGTGGGCGACGTGGATAAGGTGAGGTCCCAGTGCCCGACACTCCCCTGCAGTCCAACTTTTCCCTCTGCGACAGCCCTCGCCAGGCACTCTGGCCACCGCTGTTCCCAGCATCCTCTCGGGCAGGTGTTACCCCTCAGGCCCTGGGCCCTCCTGACCCGTCTTTTCGCCCCCTGGCCGCACGCAGTCTGATCCACACTCTGGAATCTGTGGGACTGGGTATGGAGGGTCGTGAGTGTCAGCCCACTTGCATCCCACAGGTCAGCATGGAGGGACAGTGGCCCTGTCTCCTTTGCTGGGAACCAGGCAAGTTCCCCTAGGGCACCGGCAGGGCTGCCAGCACCCGCTGCCCGGGAGCACAGGGAAGAGACCAGGGTCCTTCATTATCTGAGCCCCATTTCCACACATCACAAAACAGGAGTTTCCAAAATTAGAATTTATTTCAGTTTCTATGGAACGAATCCTCGAGTATGGCAGGAAGGACACGGCCAGCTCCTGATGCACACCTGATTTAATTCAACATTGAGTCAGCAGACACAACCAGAGATCGCCGGGGTCCAGGCTGAGGCTGCACGGACTATGTCCGGGACAACCAGGAGGGACTCCCCGCACACAGGTGGCCACCGGGCAGGAGGCCTGAGGGGGCAGGCCTGCAGGAGGCAGGCACACACAGTGTCCACAGAGGGCCAGGACGCCCCTGGGTACCCACTCGCTCTGGGAGGCTCAGGACACAGGCTCCCAGCTGAGGCCCCACCTGGGCCCAGAGCTGATGTTCGCTGCACACAAGCCCACTGGGGACAGACCCAAGAATACAAATTCTGTCCCCCGCATTTAAGGCTGGTGTTTTTTTTGACATTTACTTGAGTTTTTCTCTTTGAAGTTAAAATTACCTGAGTAAAAGATTTTGAAACATTAAAAAAGCCAAAAACACAGAATCCCTGCTGGCAGACGGTGTCGGGGAGATGGCAGCCAGGCCCAGGATGCCAGTGGCATGGTGGGGTCGGCTGGAGCTGGAGGGCTGGGCCTTTCCCAGTTGTCGCCTGCCAAGGACCTCCCAGGAGCTGCCCCTGGCAGGATGCTCCCATGGCCAGAGCACAGGAAGGCACAATGAGGTAGGGACAGTGGCCATTGTCCCCCGCCCGCCACCAGGGCTGAGAGGGCAAATGTCTTGGCCTCTTATCCATGCCCCTGTCCCCCGGAGCTGGGCATCTTGTCCAGAAGCCAGTGAACGGCCCCTGCAGTGTGGGAGGGGAGGGGCTTCGGGAGGCCTGAGCTGAGACAGTTAAATAATTCTTTATTTGGGTGGGCTGGGGGAGGGGTGATGGGTCCAGGAGGGCAGGTGAGGCCCGGCCCAGACCCCCATGGGGGGTGGCAGGGGCCTCGGGTGGGCTTGGATGCGCCTGGCATCCAGGAAGTGCCTGGGGGGCACCGGCTCCTCAGGGGCCCCTGAGCATGTGGGGAGCAGCTCCTACTTGTGCCGCGCCTCAGTCACCCTCTGCAGGCAGTACTGCGCGGCGGGCAGCGACAGGACCAGGCTGGCGGTGCGGCGGCCCATCCAGTACAGGCTGTAGCCCAGCAGGCCGAAGAAGGCGGCCTTCACGGCCAGCCGAGACACTCTGCCGGAGATGGACGGTGGGGGCACGCTGGGGGAGGGAGGGGACGCTGGGCCTGGCTGGGCATGGGCTCCCCACACCCCAGCCCCTACGCCTGGGTCACTGCCACGTATGGCTGGCCTCCCAGGGGCTCAGCCTCCACCTGGGGGGCTCTCGGGGTGGGCTGGGCTTCAGGAGGTGGGCGCTTACGTCATGATCTCCTGGATGTTGAGGTCGGTGCTCCAGTTCTTCTCTATGCCAGGCACGTGCCCCATGCCCACGACGCCCACAACCACGGAGGGGACACACTTCCTGGGCTCGGCTGCGGGGAGGGACAAGGGTTTAGTACCTGCTCAGGCCTCAGCCTCACAGGGGCCCCATGCCCACAGGCAGCCGTCACCATCAGAGGCCCGAGGCAGCTCGAGGCGCCGGGCGGCCTGGCGCAGCATGTAGGTCAGATAGACGTCACGCTCGGAGACGATGGTGCGGTGCAGGTCAGGGAACTCGCCGACCATCTCGGCCATCATCTGCTCCAGCAGGTCCTTCTGCTTGCAGCGCTCCACGTCATCCTTGCTGTGGAGAGGGGTGGCTGCAGCCCCACAGGGATAGGGCAGCGGCGGGGGCTGGCACCATGGGTACCAGGGACCACCGCATGTCTGTTTGGGATTCATGGTGGAAGCCAAAGGGTAGGAGGGAAGGCCTTGAGTGAGGCTCAGCCTGGGCAGGTGTGGCCACGCTTGGACACACACAGGAGGACCTGGAGCCTCCCACTAACCACCCTACAGGCCACCCGGGGTCCCAGGGGCAACCCTACCTGATGGGGTCTGACAGGAAGCACAGGCCCCAAGCCAGCCTGACTTTCTGCCAGAAGGAAAGCGCAGCAATGGCCCTCTTGAAGGTGACGGGGATGGGCCGGTCACCCAGGTGGAACTTGCAGAAAGGCACCTTGCTGGCCTGGAGCAGAGGCTTCGAGTTGGGAAGCAGTGGGAGCCCAGAGCCACCCCTGGGAGCCACGTCCCCGTGCTCACCCACCACCTTGCCCTGTGCCCACCTCCTTGAAGGCCTCCCTGAACTCGCCGCCTGGAGCCATGCCCAGCTGCTCGGTGATGTGCGCAGACACCTTCAGCAGCAGCATCTGCATAAGCCCTGACATGAGCCCGTTCTGTGGAGAGAGGGGCAGGGGTGGGGGGTGATAAGCCCGTTCTGGAGAGAGAGGGAGTGGGTGCCGGTGGTGGGGGGCACATGAGCCCATTGTGCAGAGAGAGGGAGCGGGTGTCATCTGGGTAGAGGGCAGGGGTGCGCAGGGGGCACCAGCACAAAGCCCCACCCCAGCCCCCGTGCTGTGTCCTCGGCCCCCTCCCCGACAGGCACAGGACCACCCTAGCAAGCAGAAGGTCAGACCAGAGCAGGAGTTCTAGCCCAACAGGCACTTCTCAAAGGTAGCTCCTTTCAGAAAAGGGCTTCATGAGGCAGTCTCAAAGGGCTGAAAGGGGCTGCCTCAAGCTGGCACGGACGCTCAGCGCTGGGCAGGCAGGCTTGCAACTCACACCTGCCTGCTGGGGCCAGCACAGCACCACCACAGGTGCAGATGCCAGGCCACCCACATCACAGCAACCACAGCCTAAGGCCCAGCTGGGGCCAAGGGGCTGTCCACGTGTGAAAGAGATGCCTCCCTGGGAAGGGGAGCAAAGCCCAGGGGCCACGCACTGCTAGACGATTGCTCGAACCCTGCACGCACCCAGGGAAGGCCTGGCCCTGAGCCCTGGGCGAGCCCAGCCTGACGGAGTGCCTGTGTTACCCTGGAGATTCCAGGCTGAGGGTGAGATGGGCACCGGGCCTTGGTTTGCTGGGACCGACTCCACCTCTGGAGGGGCTGGGGCCTGAGCTGGGCCGGGCTTATGACTAACCGGAGTAGAAACCCAGACACTGGGGCACAGGGAGCATCCCCGGCTCCCTCGGGAGGGGACAGGTGAAGTGGCACCTGGTGTCTACCAGACCCTGCCCCACACCCTCTTCCCTCTGTGACGCCGCAGCAGTGAGCACCACAGCCCTGCCGACGTCTGTGCCCCTTTGAGATTCTAGGGCCCCAGGCTCTGGCAGAGGGGCTGCCCGGCGCTGGGCCCCAGCTGGACTGGGGACTGCCCTCTGCAGGGCAGCTCACAGAGGTCTTTGATGACTTCCCTCACCTGGAGAAACTAAAAAATGAAAGGCAGGCACCAAATGTTTGGGGACATTTCTACAACATCTCATTACAATGGTTTCCTTTAATCAAGGGGGAAGGCAAGCTGACCAGGGCTGGGGTCAGGCATGCTGGGTCCCCTCTGACAAAGACTGACCAGGCACAGTGGCTCATGCCTGTAATCCCAGCGCTTTGGGAAACTGAGGCGGGTGAATCACGAGGTCAGGAGTTCGAGACCAGCCTGGCCAACACGGTAAAACCCTGTCTCTACTAAACATACAAAAATTAACCGGGCATGGTGGTGCACGCCTGTAATCCCAGCTACCTGGGAAGCTGAGGCAGGAGAATGGTTTGAACCTGGGAGTCAGCCGAGATCACGCCACTGCACTCCAGCTTGGCTACAAAGCAAGACTCTGTCTCAACAGAAAAATACAAAAAAAAAAAGAGACATGAGAAAGTCCTGCCTCTCAGGTCACCACAGGGCTGGAGGAGGGGGAACAGGAGCTGAGCCTCACTTTGGGCCTGGGAGGCCAGCCTTGCACTGAGACCCGCTCCATCCCAGCGATTGCTCAGCAACCCCGTCCTCAGGCGACCAGCCCCCACCTGGGCTAGGAGAGCCACCCATCTCCTCCTCCCTTGCCTGAAACCCAGTAACGGAGCCTCATTCCTTTCCCCTGGCCTGGGGGAGGTTCCCAACCTGGCAGAGCCCCAGGGCAGGCCAGGCACGGCCACAATGACTGGGGCACGGGCTGTGGGAGGGACCCAGGCACACAGGTGGCTTTGACCCCGAGCCCGACCCCAATCCCAACCCCGGCCCTCGCTGCGTACCTGCCTCACAGCCTGCTGCAGCTTCTCCAGGCTGAGCTCCTGGGCCTCCCGCAGCAGCGTGCTCTCGTCCATCTTCAGCATGGACACGCGGTACTGGCAGAGCTCCACGACCACCACATCAGGCTGGACCTCCCGGATGGTCTGCAACAGCCGTGAGTCACACCTCAGGGACATGGCCTGTTCTGTGCCCCTTGGCACAGCAGACACCAGCACTCGGGGCCCCACCCCAGGGCCAGCCAGCATGGCTTCACCCCAGTGCTAGCTAACCCTGATGCTGTAGGGACAGTTCAATTCTTTTTTTTTTTTTTTTTTTTTTTGAGACAGAGTTTCGCTCTTGTTACCCAGGCTGGAGTGCAATGGCACGATCTCGGCTCACCGCAACCTCCGCCTCCTTAGTTCAGGCAATTCTCCTGCCTCAGCCTCCTGAGTAGCTGGGATCACAGGCACGCGCCACCATGCCCAGCTAATTTTTTGTATTTTTAGTAGAGACGGGGTTTCACCATGTTGGCCAGGATGGTCTCGATCTCTTGACCTCGTGATCCACCCTCCTCGGCCTCCCAAAGTGCCAGGATTACAGGCTTGAGCCACCGTGCCCGGCCGGGACAGTTCAATTCTTTTTTTTTTTTTTTTTTTTTTTTTTTTTGAGACGGAGTTTCGCTCTTGTTACCCAGGCTGGAGTGCAATGGCTCGATCTCGGCTCACTGCAACCTCTGCCTCCTGGGCTCAGGCAATTCTCCTGCCTCGGAACACCAGGAGTGAGCCTCCTGAGTAGCTGGGATTACAGGCACGCGCCACCATGCCCAGCTAATTTTTTGTATTTTTAGTAGAGACGGGGTTTCACCATGTTGACCAGGATGGTCTCGATCTCTTGACCTCGTGATCCACCCGCCTCGGCCTCCCAAAGTGCTGGGATTACAGGCTTGAGCCACCGCGCCCGGCCAGACAGTTCAATTCTTTAACAAGAAGAGAGGAAGCTGTGAAGCTGGTTCACTTGTTAGAGTGGGAAGACGCACAAGGCGTTGATGGCTTCCAGGCAGGAAGCCCACCTCGCCACTCCCAGGGACCACGAAGTATTGAAGTAGGTGGCCTGCAGCGCACATAGGCCTCGGCCCCCATGGTGGCCACTGAGACACACGGGTACACGGACCCTCCACCCAAGAGCTTATCACCAACCTGCGTCCGGGCCCTGGTGGGCGATGGCGCTCACCTTCACCACGTCTCTCTTGCTGTCATCACTGAAGTGGGCTGTCCCCACCACGTACACCCTGCTCCCGTCCTCAGCTACCAGCTGGGTCACAGTGCGTGGCAGGTTGGGCCGCTGGCGCCGCCGCTTCAGCTTCATCTCCAGGAGCAAGTTGAAGGCATCCACGTCGGCTGCAACAACAGCACAGGCCATTGTGGGGTGGTGCCCACTGGCTGCCTGAGCTCTGGGACCCTCCCAGGTTCTGAGGACTGAAAGATGCGGGGCACAGGCTCCCCAACAAGCCCCACACGCTCCCCGAAGACACCCACACCCCACACTCTCCCCGACGACACCTACGCCCCACAGGCTCCCCGACCAGCCCCACGCTTGACATGCTCCCTGACCAGCCCTACACTCTCCCGGATGACACGCACACCCCACACACTCCCTGATGAGCCCCACGCTCCACACGCTTGACCTGCCTGGTGATGGGAACACCAGCTACCACCTCTGTGAGCTAGACGCCTTTGAGAAGCCTGTGCCCCATCCACACCATGAGGGCGAGCTTAGGGGCTGCTATGGGTGACACACAGCATGATGGACAGTGGAGGGGCGGGCACCCCAGGGGGCTCAGCTAGGGGAGGGGCTCTGAGGAGGGAAAGCCAGTGTCCCTGCCGTAGGAGGGGCTCTCATACCTCTCACATTCCTTGGGCTCAAGAGCCCCCTATGCCCAAGGCCGGCCTGTGCTGCTGGCAGCCCTTCCAAGAGGCTCTGCTGCCAGGCAGGGCCTAGGAGCAGCTGCTGTTGGGGGTCAGGTCTGCCCTCTGGGGCACTGGGCCTAGCAGCACCCACCCCAGGTCTCAGCCACAGACTCCAAGCCCCTGACAGCGGTCGGCCTCCTCTGCCTTCTCCCTGACTCAATAGCCCAACACCAGGGAACATGCCAGGTCCCTGAGGGAGACATACACAGGTTCTGGGGGTCTTCAGAAAGCACCCTGGGCACCGACTCTGAAGCCTCCGACGGTACAACAGGTTCCACATCGGCCTGCAGGTGAAGGGAGAGTTCAAGTCAGGGTTCACGCACCCCAGAAAGCCAGGGCTCCGTGCCTACCCCATGGACCACGCAGCCTGGAAAGGGCCCTGTGGCCGCTCTGTGGAGCCTACGCCCTGCGCTGCCAGGACGACTCCTGCTTGGCCATCACTGGCAGGGCCGCCAGGCATGCCAGCCCAGGACCCCTCCCCCTCAGAGGTGCCTCCTGCCTGACCCTGGAGAACCCCGTGAAGATCATCTTTGCAGAGCAACAGCCAAGGGCTGACCTCAGGAGCCCAGAGTGGAGAGACCCCCACGCCTCTGTGCGGACAGCCCAGCCCTACCTTACCTCATGCGCTGGCTGCTGCTCCTCCCCGTCCATGGCTGGGTGGTGACTTCCTGCACCAGTGGCGAGCCTGAGGAGAGGCATGAGAAGTGGAGTTTCTACCTGGAGCCCCAGGCCTGGCACAGGGCTCACTAGAACCATCTGTTGGGCGGGACTGCGGCCTCCTTCCCCCATATCCCTGACTGCCTCCTGCCCATGAAAGGTTACTAAGGTCCAGGGTCCGTTCCGGTCAGGGCTGGGTGGGGAAAGGGCAGCAGGTCCCCAGGGACCTCCATCCTAAGCAAAATGCAGACAGGCCTCACTCAGAACAGGGCCAGGGCGGCCCACTCCCACAGCGGCATCGTGGGCACACACAGGAAGGCAGCCTGGGGTCTGCGCATGGTCTCAGGACACAGCAACGTGGCTGCTGACCGGTGGCGCAGACCTCAGGGCCTTCGTAACAAAGCCACTTCCCCTTTTCGTAACTACGGCCCAGGCAACAATGTTAGCACAGAGTCGGTACAGATGGAGGAATCCGCAAAGCACACAAGTCAGCGTGTTCGGAGCCAAGACCTTCTCTCAGTTTAAGAGAAAAAAAGGCAAATGAAGAACGGAAGGCCCATGCTGGAAATTTGGACAGGCTGGGGCCGCCAGGCGAGGAGGCTGCCCCGAGGTGCCATAGCTCCCCACACTCTCCTGAGGGACAGAAAGGAAACAGCCAGGCGCCCGCTGCGCCCGAGGCACACACCGGCCAAGGCTGGCAAGGCACTGGAAGACCTGCATGGAGCTCTCCGAGGCCGGGGCAGGGACTGTCCTCCCACGTAGCTCTTCCTGAATGTGCTCAGCCCCAGAACACCAGGAGTGAGTGTTTACAAAGTCAATAGCTCGTGCATGTCCTGGCAGACGGATGTCGCCAGGCAGAGTCATTAAAATACTCAGAACAGGACAGGTGCGGTGGCTTATGCCTGTAATCCTGGCACTTTGGGAGGCCAAGAAGGGCAGACTTCCTGAGCTTAGGAGTTCAAGACCAGCCTGGTCTCGAACAGACTAGCCTGGCAAAACCCCATCTCTATACAAATTAGCCAGGCGTGGTGGTGCACACCTGTAATCCCAACTACTAGGGAGGCTGAGGCAGGAGAACTGTTTGAACCCAGGAGGCAGTGGTTGCAGTGAGCCGAGATCACAACACTGCACTTCAGCCTGGGTGACTCCGTCTCAAAAAACAAACAAACAAACAAAAAACAGAGGCCGGGCATGGTGGCTCACACCTGTAATCCTAGCACTTTGGGAGGCCGAGGCGGGTGGATCACGAGGTCAAGAGATCAAGACCATCCTGGTCAACATGGTGAAACCCCGTCTCTACTAAAAATACCAAAAAATTAGCTGGGCATGGTGGCGCGTGCCTGTAATCACAGCTACTCAGGAGACTGAGGCAGGAGAATTGCGTGAACCCAGGAGGCGGAGGTTGTGGTGAGCTGAGATTGCTCCGTTGCACTCCAGCTTGGGTAACAAGAGCGAAACTCTGTCTTAAAAAAAAAAAAAGTGGGTGGGGTGTGGTGGCTCATGCCTGTAATCCCAGCACTTTGGGAAGCCAAGGTGGACGAATCACCTGAGGACAGAAGTTGGAGACCAGCCTGGCCAACATGGCAAAAATCTGTCTCTACTAAAAAAAATACAAAAATTATCTGGGCATGGTGGTGCATGCCTGTAGTCCCAGCTACTCAGGAGGCTGAGGTAGGAGAATTGCTTGAATCCAGGAGGTAGGGATTATAGTGAGCTGAAATTGTGCCACTGCACTCCAGCCTGGGCAACAGAGTGAGACTCTGTCTCAAAAAAATAAAGTAAAAAATAAAAACGATGAGCTGTTGGAAACCATTCTAAGCTGCCTAGTTGTGCCCGGTATTGTGGTTTTGTCTTAAGTGTCTGCATCACTCAGAGATGAGCATCTCGGGGGAAACAACAGGGCTTCTAGGATGCGCCTGGGAAGGTCCCGTGGCTGGGCTTCTAGGATGCGCCTGGGAAGGTCCCGTGGCTGGGCTTCTAGGATGCGCCTCAGAAGGGGCCGTGGCCGGGCTTCTAGAATGCGCCTCGTAAGGTCCCGTGGCTTAGGGGTTCTAGGATTCGCCTGGGAAGGTCCCGTGCCTTGGCCTTCTAGGATGTGCTTCAGAAGGGGCCGCTGCCAGGTTCTCCGCAGATGCCTGCCTGTGCATCTGTCAATAGTGACATCATTTCCATGTCACTATTGCTGCCCATTTCTCAGAACTCGTAATAAAGAGGAACAATGAGTAATAAGATGTTATGTCAGGTTCCTTTCCTCTGCACACCCTTGCTGGCATACAGCTGCAACAAGCACAGACTCTGGCTCCCTCTAGGACTCACAGACCCAGCTGGGTCCTGGCCACACACATCCCAGTTAACATGCCTCCAAGCTCGGGTTTCCTCACCTGTGAACAGGAAGGAGCTCTCTGTATGGTGTCTGGGAGGGCAGCTCACCCTGAGAATGGCTGGGACTTCTGGAAGAGGAACTGGCTTGGCCTGGGGTGCGTGGCGCAACAGGACCATGGGGTGAGGGGAGGTCAGCTGGGACAGCTGATAAACACCAGCCTGGCCTGTGAACCCCATCCTCATGCCCCCAGGGGTCTTGAGCCTCTGCAGAGGGCAAGGGGAGCCCACCCATAGGCTCCCCTCTGGGGCCTTTCGGCCCTGGCAGGGGGTCCCACTTCTTTCCACCTGGGTTTGAGTCTGGACCTGACCCGGCCTGAGTGTCATAACGGTGGGCACACCCAAGAAGTGCTGCTGCTGGCACCGGTCAGAGCACGGCCAGGCCTCAGCTCCTAGGACTGCCTCCTTTACCTTTTGTAGGTGAAAGCTCCACAGATGTAACCCACTGGGAGTTGTGAGCAGCTGCCAGGCCAGCCAGCCCAGACAAGCACCCAGCCCAGGGAACGGCCACCTTCCTGGGGTCCAGCTGCACACAGGAGGTGCACGGGAAAGCTCCTTAAAGAAACATCCTGTGCAGCCAGGTGGGAGGCTGTTGGCCAGCCAACGGGAGGCGCCCACGTCGAAGCCCTTCCCCCAAAGGTGTGGCAGCCTCAGGTCTGCGGTCAGCCCCACCCTCCATCCAGCCTGGCCAGACCTGCCTCTGAGGCCAGCCCAGGGTGCACCAGTGGCCATGGACAGGGCGGAACCTCCATGCAGCAGCAGGCACTGCTCCTGCCCCCAGCTGTGCCATGGGGTGGGCATGCACAGGTCTGTCTGGGGGTAGAGAAGCCTTCCTGACCAGGAACCAAGCCTTGGGCAGCACAAAGTCAGGGCCACCAGAAGCAGCACCAGGCCCCAGCCCAGGCCTCTGCAGCCTCTCAGCAGAGGTGTGCTGCCCGCACAGGGCCGGGCAGGAAGGCCCCTGAGGCCCCCCAGCACCTGAAGCCTGTGATTCTGGGGGTCTCTCTGACAGTCATCCTCATACTTCCACAACTCTCTTTCCTTCCTGGCCAAGGTCCCCTGGAGAGGTGATTTCAGGAGGTTACCAGGTCCCTTCCCTCTAGCCTGCTCCCAGGCACTATGCTCTCCAGACATGTACAGCTGAGCCCCAGCCTCTCCCAGCTGCCTGGCGGTCAGCAAAGGGCCCTACCCAGAAAACCCGCAGATGGGCCTCGACTCCCTGCTCCCTGCTCCCAGGCTGTACCCACCCTGGTTCCCCTCGACAACCTCTGGGTCCCAACAGAGCATTGCCTAGGGGTCCAGCCAGGCAGCCACCCTCTTCTTATCTATCCTTTTCAGGTACGCTCAGGCCCATCGGCGGAGACCAGCAGACCCCTGGCTGCCCCTCCGGGGGGACAGGCACCTTTCCTCTCTTGGCTGCAAGCACAAGCCACATTCAGACGCTGCTTTAGCAGTGAGCCTCGGCCCCTGCGCTTCTCTGCTGCGGCGTGATCTGTCCCTAAGGCACAGAACAGGGTGGAGACCACAGGGCAAGAAAAGACGTAGCACCCTGATTGCAGGAGACCCTAGACCCTGCCTCTGAAGACGCTTGTTCTCCACGTGCTGCTCCTCATCTGTAAAAAGGGATATCTGGCTTTGGAAACTAGGATCCTCTGCAGATAAAGCCTCTGAAAATTCCCAACAGCCCGTACGTCCCACAGGGCATCTGTCCCAGGATGTCGCGTCCAGTGGAGCCTCAGGCTCCACGGTTGCCTCAGACGGCATATCCCACCTGCCTGCTCAGGTCCTGCTGCTCAGACTGAACTATGTCCCCCAAAACCCACAGGTTAAAGCCCCAACTCCCAATATGAAGATATGAGATGGTGGGGTGATCAGGTTCAGATGAGGTCATGAGGGAGAAGCCCCTGTGACAGGGTCAATGCCCCCTCTGAGAGACACCAGGCTCTCAGCTCTTGCTCTCCCAGGTGAGGATGCAGCCAGAGGGGGCCCATCTACATGCCAGGAAGATGCATGGCGACCAGTGACCAGCACCTTTCATCTGGGACATCCGGCCCCTAGAACTGTGAGAAAATAGATTTCTGTGTTGAAGATTTTTCCCAGCACCAGTGGGGCACAGCGGGAGGAGCCTACTCACCCACAGCCCCAGCTACTCAGGAGAGGCTGAGGCAGGAGAATTGTTTGAGATCTAGAGTTTAAGACAAGACATCATTTTTTTCTTTTTTAGATGGAGTCTTGCTCTGTTGCCCAGGCTAGAGTGCAGTAGCCAGATGTTGGCTCACTGCAACCTCCACCCTCTCCCCCACCCCCACCAGTTCAAGTGATTCTTCTGCCTCAGCCTCCCAAGCAGCTGAGATTACAGGTGACTGCCACAGCGCCAGGCTAATTTTGTATTTTTTTGTTTTTCGGAAATAGTTTCACTCTGTCAACCAGGCTGGAGTGCAGTGGCACTATCTTGGCTCACTGCAACCCCTGCCTCCCAGGTTTAATTGATTCTCCCGCCTCAGCCTCCAGAGTAGCTGGGACTATAGAGGCATGCCACCAGTCCCAACTAATTTTTGTACTTTTAATAGATACGGGGTTTCACTGTGTTGGCCAGGTTGATCTCGAACTCCTGACCACAGGTGATCTGCCCACCTCAGCCTCCCAAAGTGCTGGGATTACAAGGGTGAGCTGCCGCACCCAGCCTGTTATTTTTTAAAGTTTCCTGCTCTGTGATGTTTTGTTACAGCAGTCAGAGCTAAGACACCATCCTATCCCCTTCACCCTACTAGAAACTGCCTCCCAGACTCCAGCCAAGCTTCCTAGTGCAGGCCAAAAGCTGGCTGGCACCAAACGCAGTTCCCAGAAAAACCCTCACCTCTCAAACATCCCACTAGACCAGCTCAGACAACCAAGGTTCCAACCTGGTCAGACCTGGGTGTTGCAGAAATGATAAGACTTGGAGGACCAGGGTGTGGCCCAGAGCTCAGATCTCCCCTCCTTCCCGTTTCCGAGGCCAGGCATCTTTGGCCACAGGAAACTCCTCCCGGGTCTGGCAGGGCGCTTCTTGCAGGTGCGGCAGAGCTGGGGGGTGGAGGAGGCGGAAGCCGAAAACACTCATACGTGAGCCGGAGCCCGAGGCCTTCTTGCCAGCACACCTGGCACCTCCCCATCCCTGGGGACCTGGTCACAGTCAATGCAAAACCCCCACACTGACCACCATGCAGCGGGCCCCGCAGGCTCCTGCCACCCACCCACCCCGCCAGACCCCCTCCTCGGACCCCACAGCATCAGGACCTCCATTGAGGCTGGCCAGTAGCCCCGGGGCAGCCCCACCAGTCACACTGCAGGGGTGGTGGCAGCAAGTGGGGAGGAGAGACATACAGGGCCCTGAGCCTGGCAGCCTCCACAGCCTCTTCAGGGACCTGAAAGCCTCGACTCGTCCACCTGGAGGCTACCGAGGCTGCAGCAGTCCCTGCAGGGAGTTCAGCACCTCAGCACGGTCCTGGTTTCTTCTGGGATGCTGATGCCCAGACAGCTCCCACTCCATCTTTCTAGTAAGAGTTTTGACAAGGACACACGGCAGCTTCACCGCAGCTGTTAGACCTTTTAAGTTTGGGCGGCGCACAGCAGGGGAAGATCTGGCGTCCACTTCACCCATATGGGAGCCCTGCTCTGCTCCACTTGAAGGGCAAAGGCACCTACAGACGAGTCAAGCCCCAGGTCTCAGCGGGGCTGGAGGGACAACAGGGGTCTGGGGCTTCCCGCTCCGCCTTCCCCTCCAGGAGCACCCCAAGGCCGGCAGGACTGGGCCGCCTGCCTTCCTTGGCTCCCACGTCGGCCGGCTCCACCACAGGAAGTAGGCGGGGGTGGCTCGGGCCTGGGGCTCTCCTTACTCGCGAGGACCTCGGGACTGGAGGTCCGACCCTTGCCCTGCCGCGAGGCCGCCGCTGACCCTCCTGGCCCCAGCCCTGGGGGCTCTGCTGCTCCGCAGCCGCACTTCCCGGAAGCGGTGGCTGCGGACTCGCGGGGCCTGCTCCCGCCCTAAGCTGACCCAGGCCTGACCCCCACGACCTGCTCCCCCGGCCCCAAAACCTGACCCGGGCCTGTCCCCCACGACCTGCTCCCCCGGCCCCAAAACCTGACCCAGGCCTGCCCCCCACGACCTGCTCCACGGGCCCCAAAACCTGACCCGGGCCTGCCCCCACGCCCCCATCCCGACTCGGGCTCGTTCACCCTGCCCCCCACAGTCCCCGCACTGTCCCGAGCTGGGCCCGCCCCCAGCCCGGTGGCGGGCCCTCACGCACGCGCCGTCGGCGCCGCGCGGCGTACCGAGTTGAGGCGGCGGCGCTCCTCAGCTGGCCTCCATGCGGCGCGGACCCTCAACGGACGGGGCGGGCCGGGGCGCGGGGCGGGCCAGGGCAGACGGGCCGAGGGCGCCGACGGTCCCGCGGCATGCCGGGAAGGGTAGTCCCAGGCGCCTCCTACTCGGCCCCGGCCCGCGACTCCGAACTACACTTCCCAGGGAGCCGCGCGCGAGGCCCCGCCCCGCCCCATCGCCCCGGGGTCCTAAGGATCATTGGCGCGCACTCCTCAAAGTGGGTTCGAATCCCGCTGCTGCCACGGCCTTGCGAGGCGCACCCACGTTCTCTGGCCGCAGCTCTTAAGCTGTGAAATGGGGACAATGCTCGCACGGCGTCCACAGGATGGTTTTGCGTTGAATTAGATATTGAAATGTAACTGTTCTGCGAGCTGTCAGTCCCGCACATAAGGGACAGCTGATAGTGGGCCACGAGGAGCTGAGTACAAGGGATCAGGGAACGCGCCGACGTGGCCTCCGCCTGGCCCCCTCCCCTGTGGGGATCAGTTTCTTCCGTCCTCCCGGGGTCGCCCCAGAACCCTCCCCGACCTGGGACTCCTGCCTCAGCGGGACCTTGGCTGACCGCAGGCTGGGGCACCCCGGGAGGTCGATGGCCAGCTCGGCGGAAAACCTGGAGGCGGCGGGGGTCTCAGGGCTCACGGACCCGGGCGCGCGGCCACTTCCGATCGTCCCGAGGCCCCTAGCGGGACCCGGTTAGCCGCAGCCATCCGGACGCCGGACCCTCCCCGCGCGCCTTCTGCCCCGAGGGCCTGAGAGGTGACCCAGCCCGCCGCGCCCTCCTGCCCGGGCGCCCGGACCCGTTGCTGCGCCCACCCTCTCCAGGGGCGGCCGGGGCCAGGCGACCAAGGAGCTGCGCGCTGCGGGCCACGTAGCTGACGGGGATGCGGGGTCGGTGGCCAACTGGGGAGCCGGGCGATTTGCCGCCGGTGCAGAGGACTCGCTGCCCGCCAGCTGCTGCGCCACCCGTCCGCCCCGCGCGCCTGCTCTGGTCCGGCCGCGCAGCCCGGGCCCACGACTTCCTCCTCCACGACCCGGCTTCTTGGCTGCCCCGGCCCTGGCGCTGGGCTTAGCGCAGGCGTGCACGTGGCGATGGCTCCCCTGAAGCCAGCTCCCTGAAGCTGCGTGCCCACCTCTACCGCCCTGCCCCAGCCCACCGATCAGGTCCTCAGAGCGGGCCCGCCCTGGGGCCAGGACTCCAGTCACAGGGAGGTCCGCTGTGTCTTCCCGCCAGACACTGAAGAGTTGCGGGAAGGGGCCCGGTGGGCCCCGGCTGGGGGCCTTTTAGAAGACGGGGGAGGGCGCACCTCTCTGCTCAAGTGCCCTAGGACCTGCTACTCTCTGCAGCCAGAGTGAGAGCCTCCGACGGCTGCCCAGAGCAGGAACCTCAGCGAGCCTGGAAGGCGTACACAACAGGCTGGGGTTGGGAGAGTCCAGCACAGTGCCTGAGCCTGGTATGGGTCTGCCTGAGGCCGCCCACCAGGACTTGGCACTGGGGAGCCTGTTCCCTTCCAGGCTCCAGGAAGATAGGCTGTGGCCCCAGCTCCAGGTTCTGAGGAGCTGCCCCAGCACGGGTGGCCTGCAGGGGTCCCAGGTTCCTCGATCCGGAGCCTGCAGATGGTCCTCCCGGGGTCAGGCAGGTGGGTGGAAATGTGTGTCCACACAGCACCAGGCCAGGCTCCCTTCCAGCAGGCTGAGCTGGCTGCCCACCGAGTTCTCTTACACAAGAGGCCCCACTCCCTCCTACAGCTTCCTGGTCCCCAAATGGCTGGGCCTGGCCTTAGAGAGGCCTCTGTCCTCCTTGGTGAAGGACACTCACTTCTGACCCCAGGGCCTCGGGTTCACACCCTCTCCATTCATTCTCACTGTTTGCTGCCTTTGTGGTCAGTCTGCCTTTCTGACCATCTCGGTCACATTCTCACAGGAGGGCAGTGGGTGGCAATGGCCCTGGCTCCACCTCACCCATTTCTCAGTGCCAGGCTGGTGTGGAGGGAAGATGGCTGGCCTGGGGGCTGGAGGCCTGGGTTCTTAGTCCTGGCCATCTGGGATGGGTGCAAGGTCCTCCTGGAGCCCCTCCTTCTCCATGAGAGGGACAGTGCCGTCCACCTGCCATGCCTGCCTATCTTCAGGGAGGAGGAGGGGCAGACAGGGGCAGGGAGGGGCACCGTCTCAAACTAACACCCACCCAGGGCTGCAGAACCACCCTCCGACTCACCTGGGCAAGGTGGCCAGTCGGGGAGGGGAGGGTGTTGGCGATCCCAGCCCCCGGTGGGCAGCAGACAGTGGAGAGGCAGGAGAACTGCCCTCCAATCCAGCTGGGTCCCCTGCAGGGCTGCACTAGGCTGTGAGGGGTGAGAACCAGAAAAGGGGGCGATTGAGTCCTGGGGAGCGTGCTTGGGAAAACTGAGGCAGGTCCTTAGCCACAGGCCCTGGGCCACCACCTGCATCTCAGGCTGGGCTTGTCTGCTAAAGGTCTGCTCCCAAGCCTGTGTTTCTCTGGGCAGGTTCTGCTCCTTCTGCCACGGTGGGCAGGCAGGGTTGCCTTGGGAAGATGGTCAGGTGCAGGTGGAGGATGTGTACCCTGGGGTGCCAGAGCTTTTGAGGCCCTGACCCTGGGAGACTCGCCATGTGGATGCCCTGTTCATGGAGCAGCCAGAGGAGGGGTTTCTTGAAGTGCTCTGCAGGGAGTGAGGAGGAGTCCTCGGGAGGATGGGGGCAGCATGGCCTGAGGGGCAGAGGCCAGTGCCTGGACCAGCCCGGAGGATCCCTGGGCCTCAGGAACAAAAACGCATTCTGTGCTGGGAGGGACCATCTTGGTCCCCAGCTGGCTCTGTCCTCAAGGGGTGGACCTGGGGAGGGAGGGTTCAGTCCCATTCTGAGCAGAACGACAGATCCCACAGAAGCAGGCCAGGCAGCGGGGGGAGGGACAGAGCCACATGGGGGAGGGGGTTGGGGCTGGTTCAGCCCTGACCTGTGCCAAGTGTGAGCGCCGCCTTTTCAGGCCTCTGCGCCTCTGCGTCTAGGAACATGGGAACATGGCATGGCTGGTGAGGACACAGCCAGAACAGGTCTGGGGATGAGACGGTGACGTTGCCTGGGAGAGGTGGGAGCCAACGTCTCACTGAAGGATGGACATGGGCACGGGCTCCCCAGCACAGGCTGCATGGGGAGGAAGTGCTGGCCCAGCACAGGGCGAGTGTCACTTGAGGCACTAGCCACTTTCCAGACAGGACTTGGTCTGACACCTCCTGCGAGGCAGAGGCCCACAGGAGGGGGACGGGCAGCGTGGCTGCTGCCCATGGCCCTGGTCCCATTGAAGACTCTAGGTGGCTCCATGTGGCCCCTCCTGTGTCCGCACACTCAGCTCAAGCCCCACCTTGGCCTAGACGTTTTATGGACAGCCTGTGGGGGAAGGTGCAGGAGCTGGACTCACCACCCAGATCGGCTGTACCCAAGGACTATAGGACATCGCCCCTCTAGGCTCAACCATGCAGGACGCCAGGCAGCAAGGAGGACAGGTGCAGGCAGGCAGGTGCACGTGTGAGGGTAAGGAGAGCCCGGGAGGTGGGACCCCAGCCCCGGCTGGAGAGCAGCAAGAACACCCATGGCAAGCGCTGCCACCGAGGCCATCATCCCTTGGGTCCCCTCAGCTGCCACGCCCTGCCCACCCTTGCCACTGAGCTGGTCTGTGGGTGCAGGCCCAGGGCTCAACCCTCCTGCACAACCAGGCTGGCCTGAGCAGGGATTTGTGGGCACCAGGTCCCTCCCCTAGACACAGGAATGCTGGGCACATGGGCAAGCAGGCTGGGGAAGTGTCCTGAGTTAGGTGAATGTGAGGAACTGCACCTTTTCTTTTTGGGACAGTCTCACTCTGTCACCCAGGCTGGAGTGCAGCGGTGAGATCTCAGTTCACTGCAACCTCCGCCTCCTGAGTTCAAGTGATTCTTGTGCCCCAGCTTCTGGAGTAGCTGGGATTACAGGTGCCTGCCACC